ACTGCTGTGGCAGATCTGTGCCTCCTCGAAGTGGGGACCGCGTGGAGTATAAACTGACCTAGCGCTCCCGTCTCGAGTTCCTTCACCAGCGCTTATTGAAGGTCTGCTGTGTACCGGGCAGAGGGCTGGATTCCAAGGACACAGTGCAACAAGGAGACAGACTACCCCTCCCCCAACCCGCTCCCCCCCCCCCACACCCCTGGAGTTGCCATGGCTACAGATTAGGCCAGGGAGGGGCATCCACCTTGGACTAGAGTCAGGCCTGGTAGAGAGATCACGTTTCCTAGGAGGGAGTCCTTGCTCTGTCCCTGACACACCCCTCCCTGGTGGTACTTGGCCATGAAGGAAGCTGACTGAGGCCGTGAAACCAGAGTAAATGGAGCCAAATCCTTGCGCCCATCTTGAGGAATTCTGAGCAATGCCCTGGCGAGTTAATGGGCCCATTGGGAGCAGCCCCATCATTTATCAGAGATTCCTTCTAACAAAGCCCTAACACCATTAACGAAGCAAGCACCTACTACGTGCCAGGCTCCGGGCACCGCTTTCCGGGTGCCGCTGAGCTTGAGCCCTACGATGCACCTGGATTTCTCAGATGAGCAAATGGGCTCCGAGGGAAAGAGCTGCCCACCCCAGGCTCCCCAGTGGGAGGGGCTGGCGCTCAGGTGTGTCCGACAACACAGTGCCTTTTCCACCTCACCTCCAAGGGCCTTTGGAAAGATGCCAGGGGGGCAGGCTCATCCTGCCAGGCCGCAGTCCACCTGCTTAGCTCACTCGGTTAGAGCTGGAGTGGCAGCAGTGGACTTTGGCTCTGAGGGGTCTACCCACCAGCTGGGCCTTTGCATTCATTCATTCGGCAGGTTATGAGCACCTAGTCTATGCTGGGTGTGGCACGAGGCACAGGGGATGTGCGACCACTGTCCTCACGGCGGCCGTGTGCTAAGATCTCCCGTACCTCAAAATGCAAGAGGTGTGGTCCATTGCGTTTTTAGAGCATTGCTTTTGTGGGGTGGGGAGAACAGTCCACGGGTGAGCTCCGGAAAGGAGAAGGGGGGTCCACGTTGGGGAGGGCTGGCAAAGGGTTTTGTCCGGCCGCCAGTGCTCTCTGACGGGCAGAGGCCGCTTGGAGGGCTGGATTGCAAAGGGGCCCGCGGCCAAGCGCAGCAGACAGGAGCCAGCGGTGTAACAAATTGCCGCTGCAGTGGGAGCAGCCTGGGTGTCCTGCGTCTGCCCATCCCTTACGGTGCTGCTTGGGGATCAGGCTGGTGGGGAGCCCCTAGCGGAGGCTCCTGCAGAGAGAGACCCAGAAGGAAGAGAATGCAGGAGCCGAGGACGGAACAGAAAGGGGAAGGTGGGCATCAGGCTCCAGCCCACCTCCCCAGATGCCAGGGGCTCACTCTGCTTGCTCCCGAGGCACCGTCCTCAGGGCCCCTGCAATTGGATCTTCCCCAAGAACCGCGGGTCTTGCTGGCATAGCTGTACCTTTGTCAGGAAGTGGGAGGGCTGCCCAGAACGCCAGGAGAGTTGAAGGGCCCCACGTCCACCCCCAATGCCACGCGGACCCACCCATCTCTCGCCAGAATCCGCTTTCAGACTCCTCCCAAGGAGAAAGGGCCCACGTGTTTCTGAGCACGCCCAGCCCCCAGCTCTACAGAGCAGCCCCAGAAACTGCAGGGGAAAGTCGCAGGGCCCGCGCCCTGCCTCCAAAGCCACCAGGGCTGGCAGCTTGCCCAGGCGAGATCTTTTTCCCTCCCTGGTCCCTAGGGCAGAGGGCGGCTGGCAACCAGATGGCGCCACTTGGGGTGGGGGGTGCAACTCGAGGTAAAAGGTTTGGGGCGTTCCCCATGTATGGTTTTACAGTGGCCAGCAGGAGCATTTGACCAAGCCCCAGGCACCTTGACTCCTCCAGCCCTCCCCCCCACTCCCTGCCCCGCCTGTCTGCCTCTTTTCCCGTCTTCCCTTCTCATCATGCCTCCCTGCCCGCAGACCCAGCTCTGCTCTGTCTTGTTTCAAGGAAAATCCCTGCGGGAGCCAGGGAGATGGTCAGACACTGAGGCCCAGCCTGGCCCACGGCCATCCTGGACAGGGCAGGACGCCTGGCCCGTCCACAGCTGGACAAGGGGTAGACTCCGGGGGCCTCCGGGGCAGGCCGGAGACAGCCTGGCATGCAGGGAGGGGGCCTCCGCGCCTCTGCCCGCACCCCTTCCACGTTGAGTCCACTCCTGGAGAGCAAGCGTGGGCAAGAACGAGGGGCCGAAGGGGACGCCGGGAGCTCAGTCTCCTGCTCCACCACAAGCTTGACAAGGGCCCAGAGATGACGATGTCCCAAAGGCTCACGAGCTCCCGTGCCTGCTCACACCCCTGAGTCCCTCCCCACGAGGCTGAAAGACAAGGGTCTGAGCTGAAGGCCCCCCCGCAGGGCCCCAGAACCCCCAACCCCAGGCTCGCTGGGCTGCCTCGCGAGGGTGGACAGAAGCGCCGCGTGCAGGCTTTGAGGATTCTTTTCCACATTGTCCTCCAAGTGGGCAGACAGTTCCGCACGCTGTGTGAGGGCGCAGGGAGATACCCACGGGCCTGTCCAGGGAGCTGCCTTGTCTCCCTTGGCTTTAAGAAAAGGCGGATTTCAGCAGGTAAAGACAGGAAAAAAAATTAATAATCCTGGGCCCACGCGGTTGCCACGTCACCAAGGCGGAGTCCCCCGGAGCAGGGTGTGGGAGGGATCACCTCCACCTGAATATCTGGGCTCTCGGGGCAGGGAGATCCGGCTGCTTCTGAAACACCCATTTTCCTCTCCAGGGGATGAGCAGACAGCACTGCCTGAGGCAATGAGAGCCCAGGACCTTTCCATTCTTCCCGTCTGTCCCCAGTGAGCTGTCCCCGCCGGCGGCCCTGGGGCCCTCAGCCACCCCCAGCTCGAGGAACAGGGTCCCACACAAGGACACAAACCCGATGGCAAGCTTCTGTCCGGTGAGGACGCCCAGGAGAGCGGCTGTATCTGCAAAATTCTTTTCATCTTTGTTTTGATGGGTGAATTTCAGTGCCAGAATATTTGGTTTATGAGTCATGCTAATTACAGCCGGGGGTGGGGAGGCACCAGGAAGAACGGAAAAAAGCACGTTCTGAAACAACTGTGCTGTTGCCGGTGGCCCTGAGGAGGGAGGTTCACATCCCAGGATCGAAGCGGGGGACACCTGCGCACCTTCCTGGGACCGCGTCAGCTTCTCACCGTCCACCTGAGAGGGTGCCTCTCGCTGGCTGGCTGCACCTGTCCTAGGCAGGCAGGGACCCCCTCCGGCTGGATGCAGCCCCGCCCCAGACCTCCGGCACCCTCAGTTCTCTGTCTCCTTGACCCGTTGCTCACTGGCAATCCCTTCCTTGGCATCACCAGAGGCTTGAGATGGGAGGAGGAGGGAGAGAACAGGAGAGGGCAGCATTCCTGAGAAACAGAACCCAGCTGTCCTTCCTGCCCCCGGGCACTTTCTCCGAGGACCAGCCGGGAAGTGGATTTTTGCAAACTCGAGAAGATCAGGTCCCAGCCCCAGTTTGGAGAGCTGTGCATCCTTGAGCAAGTTACATGCCCTTTCTGGGCACAGAGATGCAGGCCTCCATCGGGTCCTCTATCCACTGTCTGTGGGCAGGTCATGAGCCTCTCTGAGCTCTTCAGGGGTGAGAGTGACATTGATAGAATCATCGAGATTCTGCATTTGCGCAGCGCCTGCCGTGTGGGACACACACACACACACACACCCTGCACCCATGGCTGCCATTGTTTTTATTGCCACGAGTGTTGCAGGTCACCCTAAGCTCCGCTCAGCTCTCAGGTCAAGAGGGAGAATGGGGAGGGAAGGCGGAGGGAATAACTCAACCCTCGCCCCCCCCCCCTTCGTCCGTATTTCTTCCCTCCTCTTGGTGCTGGGGACACAGGGCAGGCCTCTCCCTGCAGCAAACACAACAGTCAAGTGCATCTATTTGTGACCTTGCATGTGGGGCTGGCTGTGTGCTTCCTGCACTATAAACAGCAAAGCACTGGTGGCCTCCGAGGACCTCACGTCCTCCCCCAGGGACCCGGGTGGCCACTCGTGGTTGAGAAAACGCAGTTTCTCAGGACACTCCTCCTTTGCAGAGCTCGGACAGAAGGATCGCCAGTGTGCCAAACTGCCTCCATTCCTGGAAACCGAGTGAGATGGAAGGGCGGACGAGTCGCCGAGGGAGGCCGTTTCCTCTGCTGGAGCAGGAGGGACCTGGAGGGCCCGTGCACGCCCACAGGGGACACGGGGCCGCCCGGGAGCCGGCACTGTTAGCTGGGAACCCGGCTAACACTTGGGGGATCCAGGACAGGCGGGGATCACACCTGTCCCCGTGGAATGCCCAGAACAGGGCGGGGCGTGCCACCTCGACTCAGAGTGGCGTTTGAGGTCCAGAGGCTCAACGGCAGCTGGGCGACTGGGCCCCAGGCCAGGCGTGGTTCTCAGGGACGCAGGCAGCCCGGGAGCGTCCCCGGGGGAAGGGACAGTACTCCCCGTGTTCAGACCGAATCCCCTCCAGGAGCACCAAGACCATTAGACGCAGGGGCCAAAGTCAGCATTTCCAGTTCCGTGTGGGGTCCAAACTGGCCCCGGGCAGGGCTGGGCAGACCTGTTTCTCAGGTGACCGAGTCAATATTGGGGCGCCCCCCCCAGGGACAGCCGGGACTTGGGTACCATTCCTTTTTCTCTCACACCCAGAGAAGCGTGAAGCAAGATAATCAGCCTACAAAAAACGAGGGGAGGCACAGTCCTCAACATCCAGCTGCCGGAGCCCCCGCTCCCTGGTCACAAGGGGAGACGGCGACCCGGCTCTGCGGCACATCTGCGCACGGGCCTGCCCCGCAGCTCCCAGCCTTGCTGCCCCCGGTGCCGGTGCCGGTGCCACAACTGCCACCCTGGCCCCTCCCACTCCGCTCTGGCAGCCACGCTGGAGCCGCGGAGCAGCCCCGCGTCCTGCCCGCCAGCGCCACCACCTACCTCCAGCCGGCGGGCGGGCGTCCTGCAGCGGCCTCGCGGGCTTAGAGCATCTCCCAGCGGCCGCAGAGCCTCCTCCCGGCCAGGTCGCAGGGGGAAGAGCAGCCTGGTCCGCGGAGAGAGCGAGAGAGCGAGAAGGAAGGAAAAAGTCCTCCGGGAAGAAGGTGCAGAATGTGTGGGGGGGGGCCGCGGGGGGGCGGGTGCAGCCACCAGCCGGTCCCTGCCTTCCCGGCACCTTGACCTCCTCTGTTCCAAGGTCTCTCTGGCCAGAAGCGGAAGCGCGGTTTCTCGAAAGTAGAGGAAGAGCTGAAGAAAGCGGGACAGACTCGTAAAGAGCAAACCCCGGCCAGATGTGAGCGGGGCCGCGGAGCCTCCAACGCTCCCAGTACTTATTATCCAAACAGCGGCCGCCACGGATTAACTGTGTGTGTGCCCGGCGGGCAGGGAGAGCCAGCGCTGCCCTACTCCGGGCCACCCCGTGGAGCCGGCCCAGGCTGGCGGGTGCGGGAACCACTCCCAGCCCCCGGAAGTCCCTCCAGGTGTGGGGGTGGTGGGGGGCCCGAGACAAAGAGGGTTGGGAACCCTGAGTTGCTAGGTGGTGAGGATGGGCTCCAAGCAGTCCAGGGGGCACTGGTAGCCAGTGCTGTGGAATCAAGTCCCCCATCGGTGGCAGACGCCAGATATTTTCAATCAGAGGCTCTCCACGTGGGGGTCCAGGGACCACACACACAAAAAAATGCAAAGCTGTGTGTGCACACACATGTGTACACAAGTGCACTGTTAGACAGGGATGGACTTTTGTTTTGATCAGAGTCTCGGAGAGCCCCGTGATCCAAAGGTTAAGAACCCCTGGCTGGGGGTGCAGACTTTCCAGAAGACCGTGTGGCCAGGGTACAACCAGAAGGGACATCAGGATCCCGAGATCGCTATCAGCCTCTGGTTCCTTGATATGAAAAACAGGCCTTTTTCCTAACTTAACTGCACAAGCTCTAAAACGGCCTCTTTGGCCCCACCTCCCATGCTGAGAGCTGCTAGAGGTTTCTCAGGAGCTGCCCCCTCCCCCCTACCCCCGGGCCAGGCTAGTCTCCATCCTGAGTCAGAACAGATCGTTCTGGAGTCTTACCGTATGGCAAAAGAGGAAGGATCTGGCCAGAGGATCTTGGTGCTTTGCGGTGGCCATAACCCTGTTCTTGCTTCTTTCTGAGCCTCCTTCCCGCGATCTCCGCGAGCTTCATGGGTGTCACACCCGACCTGTTGGTCATTTATCACCACTGCTCCCGAAGGCCCCTCTCTCCAGCTACATGTGGACAGATGTACAAACGAGGTGCTGGTTTGGGGTGTTCCGGGCAAAGCCAGAGACCGCACCCCACTCTGCCTTGCCTTGGAAATTCCTTCCCGCCACTGCTCCCCACGTGTCTGCCCCAAAGGCTGAAAACCCAAGAGGAAAGGGGGCTGTGCGAGCCTGACACCCACCAGGCGCACAGTCTTGCCAACGGAGTGGAGAACGTGGGGATGGAGGAAGGTCCGGGTGGCCCCATGGCCGCTCCACAGAGACACCGGCAGCCCACCGGCTCCTGTGGGAACAAAAAGTGCCCTGATCCTCCGGTGGCCCTGGGGAGCGTCAAGGGCACCTCGGCAAGATCAAGTTCACATCTCCGTTGGCGACGGGGTTCCAGCTGGCGTGAGAAGACTCAGGAATCGTTCACGATCTTTGGCTTGTGTCTGAAGCTTGGCGAAACTCACCACGTCCCGGCTCCTTATCGACACAGGAAGCCCAGAGATAAGCTCGTCTTCGTTCCTGTGCGCAACACGAGGAACTTTCCTGGTCAGCAGGACCCAGGCCTAGCACACTGACTGACCTTCCGCTGGCTGCCCGCTCTGTCCTCAGATGCCCTTCTTTGGCACGGATGCTGGGGGAGAGTCCTCAGAACTCCCGCAAACCAGGATCTCCCTGAAGGCAATGGGAAAGGCCCCCACCGCAGTACCCCAGACCTTGGGGGTCCTGGACGGACACCACCACTCAGGGCGCACGAAGCCGGGCACGTGGCTTGGAAGAGAAACAGATGCAGAGATCTGCTCCCTTTCTCTACTCCAGCTGAGATAATCGAAAGACAGTTATCTTAAAGATAATCCCAAGACAGAAATCCAGAGGCCCGACGGAGAGCAGAGCCTAGAAACACAGCCACATAATGCCCCTCTGTTCCAGGGGCAGCTCCTCGTTCTAGCCCGAGGCCTTAAGTCCTGAGCCCAGGACTTAAGTCCCCACCTCAGTGGGCCTTTGTTTCCTTATCTGTAAAGCGGAGATAGGTCCAGGGTCTCTTATCTGGAACTTTATGCAGCAGATGTGTTCAGAGGAAGACGCAGACATCTTCGCAGCATCTCGCCCCGCCGGATGTTTGTGGATATTCCGCAACCCAGGAGAGATAGAACCGTGCACAGCCTCACCACTCCGCGGGTCACACCGTCTCACTATCCGGTCAAGGTCCCTCCAGTCAAACTCATCTCTGACGCCAAATGCAAATTCTCACATTGTCAGAGCTTTTTGTATCTGGGGGACTTGGGGTGAAGGGTTGTGACTCTGTAATTGTCACACGGCTGATGGGCTGACAGAGTAGACCCAAGGCATAAGGAGGTTCCTTCGTTCGTCTGGTTTGTCCGTAAGAGTCGTCATTGTAATTACGATCTGACTCCTTCTCTCCTGCTGGGTTGAGCCCCTCCCCCATCTCCCAAGAGATTAGGAAAGGGCTTACTCATATCTCTGGAGGCAGAAACCAGGAGGGTGAGGGGTGCTGATATTAAATGTGGCAATCAGAACCTGGGGTTTCCCAAGACATCCCTGAGAGACTAAAGGCTCAGGGGCATGGAGAGTTCCAGAGAAAGGGAACTGTGGTCTGAGCTGAAGCCAACAGGCACATGGGCAAAATTTCACAAGGCCGGTTCAGCCCTCGGTGAAAGAAAGAAAGTCTGTGGCCCAAACACAGAGCTAGCCAGGTCCCTAATGCTTCTCTGTCACCCACTTCATCACTGCTTTGAAACGGTAAGTAGAAAAGCCACGGTTAGCAAGCCAGGGGTGATCTTGCAGACTACTTGAGCACCCCTGAGCAACTGAAGCAGAATGCTCTCGATTCAGCAAATATCTTCCCTTTGGAAAGTCCTGGCCAGCACTGAGGACAAGAGTCATGGCCAAAACAAAAAACAAAAAAACCCCTCAAAAACTAAAAAAAAACCCAAACCCAAACAAACACAAAACAACAACAACAAAACACACACACAAAAAACCACCAACAAAAAAACATTGACGCATCAGAACCCAAAGCCAGAACCATGAGCCCCCACCCCACCCAAGATCTCTCTCTTGGTTCCCAAATACAGGCCACGCCCATTCTGGAATTCCCTAGGAGCTCACACCTCCCACACAAGATGTCTGGGCCAAACACTAGGGCTTCCTAAGCATTCCCAAGGGGCCCCACATTCTCAGACAAGGGCAGCTCATGGGATGTAAAGCCCAGAGACTCACGGGGGAAGAGAACATTCCCTAGAATCCTTCCCCAGAAGACAGCACATTCTATGTCCCCTGTTTGGCAATTCCTTCTCTCTCCCTGGGCATATCACCGCGGCTTGCTGTTTTCTCATCACGGGTAGAAAGCCATGTGACCTCGGTTAACGTCTGTAAGGCACTTGTTTCCAGATACGCACAGCCTGTCATTAGCAGCACTGCGATTTTTCCCCCCACTGTGGCCCAACATTCCGCCTCTCCCGGCTATTTTGGGCCAGGCTGCCCCGTCATCCCACAAGGGCAGAGACCAGTATTGCAAACTTCTGAATTCAGGCTCCGACGCTGGCGTCCCGCTGCCAAAGGGTGGGGGTGAAGGAGTCTCTGCAGAGATTGGAGGGTGAAGCTTAGATGGAAACTTGGCAGCCAGACCCAGCCTCCCTGGCTGCGGGCCCGAGCTCGTTGCTCCTGGATGGCAGTGCCCACGTTCTGGAAGGCTGGGGGCAGGTGGGGATCAGAACCGTCTGCAAGGACAGAACCGTCTCATCTGTGGCTTCACGGCCCTCACACCTGGAGAAGACTTCTAAGGAGGACAAGCCTTCCTCTGGAAGTCCCCCCGAACTCGATGCAGAGAGGGGCGGCCAGGGACACCTCTTGACATTTATATGGTTTCTGAGTCTCAGCAGGCATTTAATGCCCCATGCCTCGGTTTCCCCACTGCTCAGTGTTTACGCCCCTGTCTTGGAACTTCCTTTTCAGCACTTTCAGAGGCACGAACAGAGGTCACCATCAGGCAGCGTTTTGCCTGATGGATAAAATGGGAGGCCCCCTGGTGGATCACACAAGTCTAAGCCTTAACTGTGCAGTGAGTGAGTGAGGCTGTGAATAAGTAAACACATGAAGGATGATGAAAGTGAAGAATTTTTCGTCTTTTATGTAGAGCCATAGAAACAAAGGAGGAGAAAGTCTCCAGAACGCCACGGTGCAGTCTCCAATGATGCAAAAGAGGGAAGGAGAAGTAAAATCGCAGGAGGTGCACAGGAAAGCAACTTCCCGGCACCGCCTGTCCGGGAGGCAGGAAGGCAGTGTCTGTTCACAAGGGGATGCAAACACCCTCTGACCTAGAAATCTTCCTCTTCCAGGAATTTATCCTCCAGATAGGCTTATGGTTGTGCTCAAACAAGTAAGTTCAAGGATATCCCCTAAAGCATTTTCATCATGTGATAAGATCAGATACCCAAAGGGACAGCATTGGGGACCTAGTAAAATAAATAAAAGGACATCCACACAGCGGAATACTATGCAGATATTTAGAGAAGGGAAGGCCTCTCTACATAACCATACAGAAAAAGCTGTGTTATGAAGTGAAAAATGACAAACCTTACTGAAAAACGTTAACAGAGACCTAAGCAAATGGAAAAACAAATCGTGCTCTTGGGTAGAAGGCTCAACATCAGAAAAACCTCAGTTCTCTCTGAATTAATCTATAGATTTAAAGCAATTCCATTCAAAACCCCAAAAGTGAAGGGTGGATGGGATGTAGGAGGGAGGTGAGGGGGAATTGTCTCATAACACGTGAAGGTTTATTTTTTTAATGTGTATTTTATTTTTGAAAGAGAGAGACAGCATGAGCAGGGGAGGAGTGGAGATAGAGGGATACACAGAATCTGAAGCAGGTTCCAGGCTCTGAGATAGCTGTCAGCACAGAGCCCAAAGCAGGGCTCGAAACCTTGAACAGCAAGATCATGCCTAGAGCTGAAGTTGGATGCTTAACCGAATGAGCCACCCAGGTGCCCCGAAGGTAAGAGAGGTAAGAATGAGAAGAGTGGTATTGGAGTGCAGATAAGAGCCACTATACCAATACGGCGTATTAGAAAGCCCCTAAACAGACCCATGAGTATATGGAAACTTGATCTAGAACAAAAAATGGCATTGCATACATGCCAGCGGGGAAAGAATGGATTATTTCCTGAAAGCAACACTGAAATGTTGGGGCATCTGCAGAAGAAGGAATATAAATGTCCCCCCCCCAAAAAAAACCCATAAGAAAGATACACAACTTCTCAGCAATCCAAACAATGAGAAGACATTTAATGCCATCAGATTGGCAAAACGAACACACTTGATAATATTGTGGAGCGAAGGGATCTCCCACCCATTGCATATAGTTTTATTTCATTTTTGTGCAAGTTATAATAAGCATATATACTGTTGAGAGATGCATACCTGTATGCTAACATTATAAGATAAAGGATGCAAGTGATTCAAGATTGCAGTCACCTCTTGGGGTGGGAGGAGTTGGGAAGAGGGAAGAGCATAGAGAGCTTTCCGGATAGCAGGACCAGCATTTTCTCTTCCAAGATGGGAGGCATATGAAGATACAGATATCTTAGCAAAGGAAAGGTTTGAAAATAACTTAAAATAATAGTAATATATTAGTATTACTAATATATTCATATACTAATATAGTAGGGACTCAGTTTAGCATAACGGGAAACAAATGAATTCCAGAAGGGTTTGTCCCCTTTCTACCCCCCCCCCCCATGCAGAACGGAGTGTTCAGCAAATTTCCATTCCGTTTTTTAAAAAGGTGATTTAACAGATGTGTTTATGATTTGTTTGTGCGTCAGGAAAGATCTCTGACAACAGCCGCAAGAAACTAGTAATAGTGATTGCTGGGCAGGGAATGCAGAACAGAGGTGGGAGGGACACTGTGTACACAATCTGAGTTTTTTCTCTGGCACACCTGTTACCCGGCGCGGGGCCCTGCGACCTGGGATGGCTGCGCCCACGCCGAGGCTGAGGGCGCGGGCCCGCAGGGCACTGGCCTTCCTCCAGCCCTGGGACCCTTCAATGCTACCAGGCTTTGTCCATGATTTCTAAAATGGGCATCTTTGCAGGGCTTGGGGGCAGAGGGCAGGGATGTGCGTTAAAATAGCTCAGGGGCCGGGAGGGGACCGAAGAAACAGGACGAACGAGATACCCTTATTTGGGACACTCCAGCTTGCAGCCCTGAGCCCAGGGCTTTGCTCTGGAAATCGATGAGCCTTCCAACGTGGCGGATTACAAGAGCGGAGGAGAGGGGCTCTCTCTGATAAGGAGGGCGGCAGTAAGGGGTCCCCGCCTCCCGGGAGACCACAAGGGTGAGAGGGCCAAGCAAGAGGTCCTAAGACCTCAGCTGGAGAAGTGACACCCGCCTCCCGCCGCTGCCCCGCCGCCGTCCCACTACAAAGCGGTGGAAGGGGCCCGCGACTTGGGCCGCGCGACCGTCCGCGGGGCTCCCTCTCGCCCCGGCCCTGGCCCGGCTCGCTGAGCGGTAAAAACTACAACTCCCAGCAGCCTCCGCCCGCGCCGGCGCGCAGCCGCGGAGCAGAGGCTGCCGGGAGCGCGTCCCGGAGACGCGGCGAGCGAGCCGGGCGGAAGTCGCCGCCCGCTGGGTCCCGGCCCTGCCGCAGCGAGGCCCAGCCACCCGCGGGCCCCGGAGCCAGCCCGCACCGGGTGAGTGACAGCTGCGCCCGTGGCCGCCGCGCCTCTCCTCGCGACGGGCCCGCGCCGCCCCCCTCTCACCCCGCCGCGTCCTGCCCCTGGCCCTCAGCCTCCGAGAAACGGCCCCCTTCTTCCGACGGGCGGCGGACACTCCACCCTCCGACTTGTGAGACCCCTATCCTGACAGACTTGCACGACTCTCACGGGCTCTGACTAGCGCGGGACCCCAGTCCCTTCCGACTCGTGGGACTCACACGGGCTCTGGTGCAGGACACCTCCCCCTCTGACTGGTGGGACTCTCGGGACACCTCCCCCCCCGACTGGTGGGACTCACACCCCCTCCGACTCTTGGGGCACCTTCCCTCTCTGACTAGTGCAAGACACCTCCCCCTTCTGACTAGTGTGGGACATCGCCACTTCTGACCCTGCGGGGCGCGTTCCTTTCCTGACTCGTGGGACAGCTGTCCCTTCCTGCCCCACTGCTGTCTACCCTTCCTGTGATTGCCTGGCCTCTCCTCCCCTCTCAGACTGGCACTTTCCCACCCCTGCAGCACGCCAGTCCCCCAACCCAGGCCTTCCTCTCCTTCCCCTCAGCACAGCTCACCTTCCTTCCCTTTGCCCCCAAACTGCCCTCCACCCCTGCCCCCTGCCCGCTGTGGCCTGACCTTTACCCCTGGCTTCCTCACCCCTGTTGCTCGGTGCCTTTCCTTTGCCCTCTGTGCCGCCAGGCCAGGCAGGCCCCACGCGCTCCCAGTCCCCCTTCTGCCTGCCAGATACACCTTTCTCGCGAGCACCTCGGTGTCCCCAGGAAACTGGTGCCTCTCAGCACAGCAGCTCCATCTGTCGTTCTTGTGCCCGAGTGTGTGCTCGCCGGCTGTCCCTACCACGTCTTCCGCAGCGCACACACTCGGGGACGAGCATCTGCCGACATCCACCGGCTCTCGCGGGCCCTTCAGTGTAAGGACCCACACTTGGCAGGAGCCTAGAGTGTGTGCAGCCCCGCCTGGCCCGTCCTTGTCCTCGCAGGAGCTGTGTGGGGAAGCCCTTCCCGGCCGCTGCAGCCCCAGCCCGCAGGCCTCTCGGCGGGCACAGCGGGGCTCCTTCCAGAGCAGCTGGTGGCCTCCCCAGGGCCCCTCCCCGATGGCCTCAATGAGCCTTCTATTTAGGCCTCAAGGGCCCTGCTGAAAGATACATTGACGGGCCGGGCGCCTCCCGTCTGCACCCGGGAGGAGCGCCTCTCCTGTGCGGGCCCGCGTCTTCCGGGAGGGGACTCAGGTGAAGCGGAGACTTGTTCAGGCGCCGTTGGGCAGTGCCCTGGAGACAGAGGGGTCTCAGTGCTGTCACGGGGTTTCCGTCCAGGGCAGCCGCATGGCAGGGCACTGGAGACAGTCATATACCTGCGGGTGTGCGGCCGCCCCACCGTGCCCCGGGGTCCCTCGGAGGAGCTGCAGGCCTGAGCACTTGGGCCCTGTGTGAGGGGCCCTCCCTCTCCCTAGAGCCGTAGCCCAGATGCAGCGCAGGCTTCCGCGGCCCACAGCGCGTAGCAGACGTTGCTTCAAGCAACTGCTACTTGAGGAAATGTTTGCCCACGAGCCTAACTGTACGCAACCCGCCTGCTTCCTTGAGCCACAGAGGGGGTGAGGACGGACCCCGAGTGCTTCAGGGACAGGTCCCGCTCCCTGCATGTGGCCCTCGAGGCAGGCTCACAGATACATCCCCTTTCATCAGAGTCTGAAGCCTGTCTGGGCAGCTACGTGGCGGTCCCCGTGGCGACCCTATAGAGCAGGTGTGTAGCTCCTCGAAGGGACTAGCTTGGTCCAGGGTCCCGGAATGGATCAGCACTGGGACAGGGAGTCTGCCGCTGGGTTTGCAGACATGCGTGGGGTGGTACCTGGGGCCCTGGAAAGACAGTTCAAAAAGTGCCTCTTTCCTTTCACAAACACCCTGGACGGTGGAGATTTTCTGGAAGGCTGTGGTTAAACAGCAACGCTGAGGGAACGTAAAACGTTTATTTTGGTGTTGATTTTCCTTCTTGGGAAACCAAGACAATTACTTAGAAACAGAGAAATCCCAATCGTAGAGCAATCTGGGGGTACATTCCGTTTTCTCTTTTGGTCTGCGCTTCCTTTGACTCCCACTTGTTTATCTGTAATCAATGCAGGAATTAAGGGGGACTCGCAGCTTGGGGTTCCCAAGCAGAGCGCCCTTCTGTCTGTGTTCAGCCGGGAGAACAAGCCGGGGGGCCCGACGCAGGAGTGGGGATTCGGACGGCATTGTGCCCACACCGGTGACAGGGTGGAAGCGACTGTCAGATCAGAGCACAACCGGAATGGCCCGTGGGGTCCGGCAGGGCTGCCGCTGACTGCGCCCCGGGGGCCAGGCACTGAGCGGAGCGGGAGGGAAGGTGGGCCGGGCAGGTGCGACCCCACCGTCCACAGGAGCAGGCCGTGATTTGGGTGGATGGTGGGGCTCTTATCACATCCCCTTAGTTTCACGCTGTCTGGAAAACAGCCCTGATAACAAGTAGTGTTGTTGGGCCGCCGCTCTCCACCCGAAGGGTGACTTTTTGCTGAAATTCCTCCTGAAACATGAGCTCGATGGTACAAATCCGTCCACGCGGCCCTCCTGTGATGTGTAAATAGACACAGCGGAAGCTCTGAAGCTGTGCATGGGGGGTCCTGGCCCCGGGGAAGCTGGAGCACCTTTCCCTGTTCCCCTTCTGTGGTCGGCAGAACACCGGCCCCGAGATGTCCACGCCCCAGCCCCCGGGACCTGCAGGTGCCTCATGTGGCAGAGGGGGCGAAGGGAGCAGATGGAATCGGGGTGCCACCCAGCTGCCCTTGAAATAGGAAGTGCATCTGGGACGACCCAGGTGAGCCCAGTGTAGTCCCAGGGCACGTGGGCGCAGAGTCAGGCGAGCAGCGGGGAGGGGGTGCGGGGCTCAGAGAGACGCGGCATTGCTGCTTTGGGGGTGAGGAGCGCGGGCATCTCTAGAAGTTGGAACCGTCGAGGAAGCGGCTTCTCCCTGGAGCCTCTGAGGGAGCGCAGCCCTGGATTTTAGCCCAGCGGGACCGTCAGACGGCTGTCCCGCAGGCCTGTGACACAAGTGTGCAGCGTCCAAGCGCCACACCTGGTCCCCGCAGCCGTAGACACTCACTCCTCTCAGCTAGTGGACTGTGAACAAGCACACGGCTGGAAAAGTTGTTCTGAACTGTATTTAACCTGACTCAGGAGGCAGCTGTGAGTGCCTGCTGTATGCAGGGAAAGGGGGCAGGAGACCTGACTCAGGAGGCAGCTGTGAGTGCCTGCTGTATGCAGGGAAAGGGGGCAGGAGACCTGACTCAGGAGGCAGCTGTGAGTGTCTGCTGTATGCAGGGAAAGGGGGCAGGAGACCTGACTCAGGAGGCAGCTGTGAGTGCCTGTTGTATGCAGGGAAAGGGGGTGGGAGACCTGACTAAGGAGGAGTTGTGAGTGCCTGCTGTATGCAGAGAAAGGGGGTGGGAGATGCAGAATTTAGTAGGATCCAGAATGTGGGCCTTTAAGAAAATGATCTGGGGCGAGGGCCTCAGTCCCCAAAGCTCATGCTTGGCCACTGTGACTTTTTCCTTCTGGTTTCTTGTGCCTCTCCCTCCTCCCCTCTGCCCCGTACAAATTTGAAATGCAGTTTCCTTGCTGAGTGCAAGGCAGAAGAATGCTGTGAACCAGGTAACATTTTCCGGGAGCCTGGCCCCCAGTGGTGTTTCACGTTCGCGTCCCTGACTCATCCGGCACTTGTTCCTGGAGCCGCCCGGAGCCTCGAGCCCTCCCCGCGGTGCTGGTCACTCTGAGGAGCGCAGGGCCAGCGGGCTCAGCTCTTTACTCCAACCAGGAAGTGCACGGTGGCAGCGGGCGCTGCCTGGACGTGCGCTCTCTTGGGACCTTCAGTTCGGAGACCAGAGACGGTGCTGGGGAAGGGGAGGCCGCACTGTGCAGGAGGGCGGCCCGAGGGGGGGGCAGGGCTCCAGGGGGAGGCAGAGGAGGCCTCCTTATCTCCCGCCGCGCTCGCTCCCTGCCCTTCCTGGATCCTGAAAGGGAGGAGTTTGGGTCTGGCAACGGCAGCTGTTTGTTCTGGCACCTGTCACACACCTGTCCTGAGGGAGGCGGAGAGGAGACCCGCGTGGCTGTGGGCTCTGTCGGGAGTGGCTGCCACCTTGCGTCTCAGCTTCGTGTAGAGTCCCGTGGCGGCTGGAAGATGGCCCCGGAAGGTAGGGGTGGCCGCGCTCTCCTGGGGCTCGGCCGGGAGCGTCTCCCTGGCAGTGCCTGGAGTCCCGAATCCAGGGACCCACTTGGGAGGGGACAGACCCAGTGTCACACCTCGTTGCTTTGGGCCTGTGCTGCAAGGAAGTGCTGGTGACAGAAACCAGAAATGTAGGCGAGGCAGGGAGCCACTCTGGACACCTGTCATACAGAGAGAGGGTGGGGAAGGCAGTGAGGACCGGAGCCCCGGCGGGGGGGGAGGGGGGGGAGGTTGTCCCCCACCCCCACTCCGGGTGGCTCTTTCCTGCCGAGTGGCTGGTGCAGGGGAAGGGAGGCCAGCAAGGGTGCGGTCCCCCAGGTTTCTGAAGGGAGAGGGCAGGCCCACCAGAGCGGAGATCCTGGGACCTTTTACCGTAGCACCTGGGTTCTGATTTCCCGATCGTGTAGGGTCAGCCCGTTACGCTGCAGATGGTGGAGCTGACAACCTTGTCACAATAAAGCAAACGTTTAAACTGCCCAGAGCTTTGCAGAGCGCGGGCAAGGAGCAAGCCTGCCCAGGCCCTTCTGGGGACCTTTCTGTCCGTTTTACTGTCGCCCTCATGGTGCGTTTCTGCTGGTGTTCATGGCTGGACATTGGGGTTGTGTTGTGTAGTTGTGGTTTTCCTTTGAATACAAATGCAGGCTCCCACTCCTGACCAGGACCCTGGCAGCAAGACCCACGGGTGCCATCAGGTCTGGGTGCTGAGCCAGCCTGGGGTTGGGGGAGCAAGTGGAAAGACACCTGATTTTACCTTCACAAAATACAAGTGATTCCTGGGACATGAACGGGGGGCTGTCTTCAGAGGTCAGGCTTTGACGCAGAGAGAAATTACCCTGGGTGTGAAGCTAAAGGAATTTTTTGGAAGGCACGCAGGGTTCCAGTGTCGTTATCCTGTTCACAGAAGGTGCTGGGGCCCCAGGCTCTCTCCCTGCCGCTCAGGTTAGGACCCCGCCTGGCGGGGCAGAGCCCCTTCTCTCCGGGAGCTCAGAATGCTCCCGCCGTACCGCCGGCCTCTGCTGTAGCCACGTCGCAGGAGGCAGCGCGGAGGTCGGTGTGTGTTCCTGGGCTCTGCCGTGACCGAGCGCCACAGCACGGCTGAGACGCACCTGCGTTTGTTCTCTCAATGCTGAGGCCAGAAAGCCGGTGTCCGATCGCTGGGCGGACATCAAGGTGTGAGCAGCTGTGTGCTCCCTCCGAGGGCCGAAGGGGATGGCTGGCCTGGCCTCTTCCCGTGTCTGGGGGCCCTGGGCGCTTCTTGGCTGTGGCCACGTCAGTCCCCTCTCTGCCTTGGTAGTCACGGTCCTCTGTCATTATCACATCCCCCTCTGCCTCCTTTTGTGAGGACACTCGTGGCTGCACTCAGGGCCCACCTGGGTCTCCCGCATCTCAAGGTCCTTCACTTAGTTGCATCTGCAGAGGCTTTATTGACAAATAAGGGGGCACTCGCAGGTTCAGGGTGAGGCCTGGATACCTCCGGGCGTCCCCAGGAGGGTGGGGGAGCGGGTCCTTCACCATAGACAGGGAGGGGCAGGAGGGGACAGGGACAGCAGAAGCATCACTGTCATGGCACAGCCAGGGACTTCCGGATGGTTCTATGTGGTCAGAGAGGTTGGCATCCCAGGCAGAAGCATCACATCCAGGGGTTTGGCTCATTGGCTGTGGAATTGTAAACAGCCAGCACTGTGCGGTGCACGTGTGTGTGTGTGTGTGTGTGTGCGCGCGTGTGCGTGTGAGGCTGAGGAGTTTGTCCGTTAGTGGGAAAGCTTTAGAATCTAGTAAAGAGAGTTAATCTACATTCGGTTTAGGAAAATTGTTCTATCGCTTGTGTGGAGGAGGGGCTGGGAGGGTCCAGAGCAGGGACCCGCACGCGGTTTCTGTGGACGCACGGTCCTTATGCTTGGCCTTCGGGCTGCACAGTCGTCGACATTGCCGCCGGGCTCAGTGCTTCCTTCTCGTCCCGCTTACCTACACAGCTGGGCCCCCGCGCAGGGCGCTAAGGTGCTAGCACTGTTCCGTCTCGGTTTACACGGAGGGAGCTGAGGCCCAGGGGACCGAGGTTGGGCAGCTGATGGGTGGCAGAATGCAGGTGGGACCCGGACAGTCCGATCACCAGGAGGCCAAGGGGAGACGGCAGCAGGTGGAGGCCGTGGGGGCGGGACCCAAATCCAGAGCCGGTGCGCCGACCAGACCCCTGAGGGGAGAGAAGGCCGCCTGCTGGCTCCCAGGGTGGCTTCTGAGGGCTGGCAGTGCCCTCGGCCTGCTCTGCACATTCCTGAGGGAGCCCGTCCTGGTGCCGGCGGGCAGAGGGGCCCCGCGGTCAGGGAAGAGGTGCAGGCCGGGAGGTGTGGGGAGCCTGCACTGTACCTGTTCTGCCCTCGGAGACCGAGCTCACCTCAGGGAAGATTCGGGAGAAGACGTGGGAGGCAGGGAAGGAGCTGTGGGCTCACTGTCCCTCTGGCAGGAGGTGCAGCTGGGCGACATGGAGCACCCCGGAGGGAAGGAGGGGCCCAGCGGCCGAGGACGATTGCTCCTCCAGGATGGTGAGGGGCGGAGGGACAGAGGTGTCACAGGCTGGGGATTCTCACGGCTAATCACTCAGACACGGTATTTCCTGGGCGCGTTCAGTGTCCCTGAGAGTATAATGTGCAGATCAAATGGCCACTCAGGTGGCTGACTTGGACACATAGGTAGATGGTGGAGAAGGAACCAGAAAAGCAGGCATAACTCAACGGTCCCCAAGCAGCAGGAGTGGCCTCTTCTCTCCAGACCCCCTGGACCAGGGCCAGGTGCATGGGAGGGGTGGCCCTGTGGGCTCTGCCTGGGGCCCCTGGTCACCTGCAGGAAGCCAGCGGGCAGGAGATGTGACAAGATGGCCAGGGGCAGGATGGCACCAGGAGTGGAGGGAGGGGCAGGCTGGGGGCCAGGAGGAGGGCACGTCACAATGGTGACACCTGGCAGGCATTGTGTGCACCTCCCCTGAGGCCAGTGTGACAGCGGCCGGATGCAGGGCTGTGGGTTTGCGTAGGACTAAGGTGGGGCCTGGGGTGGGGTTGAGGGGCCGTTGACGACCTGGGTGTGCTTTCGTTCCTTCGCAGATACATGTGGGGTTTCCACTGTTTGCCCTGCTGCCAGCCAGGAGTGTAAGCTCACAGCGGTCAATCCCTGCCCCCTGGCACCATGGCAGCGCAGAAGTGACCACAGGAGTTGCTGAGGGCGGTGGGGAGAAGGGGCGGGATGCCGTGGTAGAGAGAGGGCAGGCACCCAAGGGCCGTCCCTGGGGGGGTGGACGGCCCGTCTTTCCAAGGAGCCGACACTTTAGAAAACTCCTGAAACGTGAGGCAGCCACGCAGAGAGGCAAGAGCATCCTGGTGGGGGGAGAGCAAGCCCCAGCCGGGGGTGCGGGAGGGCCACAGTGGCTGGTCAGCCAGCGGAGGGGTGAGGTCTGGGCAGGGTCCGCGCAGCAGCGGGGGTTTACTCCCGGAGCACGCAGTGACACGGTCCAATCCCCCGTGTGGCTGTAGCAGGTCTGCGGGGCAAGCAGGTCATTGGGGAGGGTGGTGGCAGCAGATGGGTGTTGGTTGGAGGGGGTGGGTGGCCTGACTGCCAGGTATCCGGCTGGAGCCACCTGCCTGGAGGGAGGGGCTGCCGTGGAGGGAGGGGCCTGCCTGGGCCCTTCAGGGTGGTGGTAGTTCTCATGCAGCAAAAGGCATCTCCCGGGGTTCTGATGGAAATTTGGACCCTGGCAGCTGAGAATATGGTGGCTCTCCTGTCACCTGTGGGAGGAGTTGGGTGGGGGAGGAGTCTGGGGAGAGGAAGCAAGAATTAGTTGGAAATAGTAAGTTCAGAAAGCCCCGGCTTGGCGGCTGCCTGGAGATGGACGCTGGTCTGGGGCCGCCATGGCCACGCCAGCCAGGCTGCTGTGGTCCGTGCCGGGGACGTAAGCAGGGGTCAGGTGGTGACGAGCCACAGTTCCTGGCCGCCGCCCGGCTGTGGTGCTGCCCCCGGGGAGTGGGCCAGGGTCCCACAGCTCCAGGCCGAGAGAGTCCATGAGACTCTGGTCCCTCCATCATTTGCATCACTGGAAGCGTGCCAGGGACAGACCTTGCAGAAACAGAAGTATTTCTGCCTGGTTGACATCTGTCTTGTCCTCCTATCGAATATCACAGCTGCCCGGCCCAGGGGGAGTGCGCACACGTCTGCTTTGTGCCCTATCTTGGAGCACTGGACTCAGATGAACATGCTGATAACTGTGTGCTGTGACATTGGGCGGGCAGTGGCAGATGCCACGGAAGGGGACATGGGGTGTGCTGTCGGGAGCAGAGCCCTTGGGGCGGGCTTCTCGAGTGAGGCGGCATTTGATGAGAATACAGCTCTGGAGCCTGGCCCGCCCTGACCCCTCGGCACCCCTCCCCCTCCCGCACCCCCTGCTGCTCCCTCTTTTCTGAGCTTGTAAAGCACTAGCCTCCACAGAATCACCCTTGAGCTTTCTGTCCTGCCAGTTGAGACGAAGGGTAGGGGAGAGTTTTGCTTTGGAAAGACTTCTCATCTTGCTGAATGAGAGAAACAACGATCCTGCTGGAGTCGGGGTTTGGTTAAGCCAAGGGAACGGCCACAGCCACAGAGCCGGGGCAGTCCGTTCTGGGTGCCTTCAGGCCGTCACAGCTTTGGGAAACTGCTGACCTCTCTCTTCTCTTTCTCTGGGTGCCCAGGTCCCGCCCGCCCTTCAGTCTGATGCCTGTCCAGCCCTCCAACCACCTGGAATGGAATGAGTCTATGCACTCCCTCCGGATAAGTGTGGGGGGCCTTCCGGTGCTGGCGTCCATGACCAAGGCGGCCGACCCCCGCTTCCGCCCCCGCTGGAAGGTGATCCTGCCGTCCTTCATGGGCGCTGCCGTCCTCTGGCTGCTCTACTCTCACCGCCCACCCCCAGGCAGGCCCCCCGCACCCAACGCCCACAACTGGAGGCTCGGCCGGGCGCCCGCGCACCAGTACAATGACACCTACCCCCTGTCTGCCCCCCAGAGGGCGCCAGGTGGCACTCGGTACCGAATTGCGGTTATTGCTGACTTGGACACGGAGTCAAGAGCCCAAGAGGAAAATACCTGGTTCAGTTACCTGAAGAAGGGCTATCTGATCCTGTCAGACAGCGGGGACCAGGTGGCCGTGGAGTGGGACAAAGGCCACGAGGTCGTTGAGTCCCACCTGGCTGAAAGGGGGCGGGGCATGGAGCTGTCTGAACTGATCGTCTTCAATGGGAGGCTCTACTCTGTGGACGACCGGACAGGTGTCATCTACCAGATTGAGGGCACCAAGGCAGTGCCCTGGGTGATTCTGTCCGACGGCGATGGGACCGTGGAGAAAGGTAGGTCAACCCCCCTCCTGGCCTTGGCTGAGGTGTGGGGGGCCAACTTTGGGCCGGCTCTCTGCCACTCTGCCTGGTCGGCTTGGCGCGTGTGCGGTAAACGTGACCGGGAGGGACCACCGGGAAGAGCCGTGTCTCTCCTGCCCCTACCCATGCGCCACCTCCCCGATCCCGAGCTGGGAGTGAAGCCCTATGGGGCCTCGGAGCACACAGCTTCCAGCAGTAGGAGCTCTTTCCCAGAGGACTGGCCGTGAAGCAGGCTCCTTCCCAGGACTAGTCTGAGAGCCCCATCCACTGCTGCGCCTGGTGACCCCGGAGCGAGGCCTTTCATACACCTTCAGGGGGTGTTCAGAGCTCAGGGGTGGCCCCCTGAGTGTCTTACCTTTTTTTTTTTTAATGTTTTATTTATTTCTAGGAGAGAGAGAGAGAGACAGCGTGAGCAGGGGAGGGTCAGAGAGAGAGGGAGTCACAGACTGAAACAGGCTCCAGGCTCTGAGCTGGCAGTCAGCACAGAGCCCGACGCGNGGAGGGTCAGAGAGAGAGGGAGTCACAGACTGAAACAGGCTCCAGGCTCTGAGCTGGCAGTCAGCACAGAGCCCGACGCGGGGCTCGAACCCAGGAACCGCGAGATCATGACCTAAGCGAAAGTCGGACGCCTAACCGACTAAGCCACCCAGGCGCCCCTGAGTGTCTTACCTTTAAAGCTGCGGTGTCTGATTGCTCTTATTTTGAACCGAGGCCTTATTGAAAAGGTTGGGCTGCCTGGCACCCCTTCTTGAACCCAGCCGAGGTGGGGGGGGTCTGTGTGTAGGAGTGACCTCACTGGAGTGGGTCCTGCGCTCAGAAACCAGCTGTCACCCACTGCTCCGTTGTCCCGGAAAGGAGTTACCACTGTCGGCCCGTGGGGAGCACAGAGAGAGCAAGCCAGAGCAGCCAGGGGGGAGTTGACAAAGGGGTGTGCCCTCTGGGAGCCAAGTGGCTGCCTCTCTGAGGTCAGCAGGAAGTAGCCGGGCCGGGGGGCGCGGGGTCCGCCAGCCCTCCCCCAGGGGTGAAACCCCTCCGTAGCCTTGGGCAGTTGGCAGGGAGCTGTCTCGGCCGAGGCTTTAGGAAAAACATCGGGAGCCCATTTCCTGCCTCGGTCTGTCAGTGTCTGTGGGCAGCCCTTGCAGTTCTGGTCTTGCCCGATGGATCAGGAAGAAAGCGGAGTAACAGGAGCCTTGGGTCGGGTCATCAGAAGGGACCAGAGACCTGATAAAGGGAGAGGGTCTCAGCCTGGAAATGACCTGGGAGGTTGATGTCCCTGGGACCACAGGGCCGCCAGCGGGTTCCTCCAGAGCCACCTGCAGAGCATCTGGAGGCCGCGGCCCTGGGTCCTCGGGGCCAGCTCGCAGGACGTGTGCGGAAGGAAGCAGGCACGACATAGGGCACGGGGCGTGGGGGTGGCTCTCCCATCCGCACATTCCGCGTGCGCTGCAGCCTCAGTTGGCCTCACGGAAGGAGACCTGCCCAAGGAGATAAGCACGCCGGTCAGAGTGGACGGGGACCCCCGCCAGCCCCTCAGCTCTGGCCGCTGGTGCTTCACGTCTGCTCAACAGGCGCCAGGCGCGGTAGCAAAGACAGAGGTCGCTCTCTGCCCTGATAACCACTCCAGGTGCTTCCGCTTGCCCAGGGCGGGGGGTGATCCTCAGGTCGGGGCGCAGCTTGAGAAACAGTTTGGGGAGCAGAGGAGATTGGCCAGTGGAGCGACAGGTGAGGCACCAGTGGCAGGAGCCGTTAGCATCAGGTTAGGACAGGTGTCTCAGCAGAGGCTCCCTGGATCGAGAGGCCGCAGAGAAGGTGCCGGGTGTTGTGGGAGGGGGAGCAGCAGGCAGGGGGCAGGTGCCTCACTGCTGACCCTCTGGGGAGGGGCCCTGAGCCAGACTCTTCCCTGCTCTCGTCATCGCCTCACGTGACGCCAGACCCCACAGGAAGCCGGGGAGCCGAGGGGTGGCTGTCTTCTCAGGCGCTTCCCCGCGTCTCCTTGTCCCCAGGCTTCAAAGCCGAGTGGCTGGCGGTGAAGGACGAGCACCTGTATGTGGGCGGCCTGGGCAAGGAGTGGACCACCAGCACGGGGGAGGTGGTGAACCAGAACCCCGAGTGGGTGAAGGTGGTGGGCTGCAAGGGCAGCGTGGACCACGAGAACTGGGTGTCCAGCTACAATGCTCTGCGCGCCGCCGCCGGGATCCAGCCGCCAGGTAAGGGCCTGGCCCCCACAGGGCATCTCCCGGGCATCTCCCGGGGTGCTGCGTGCGCACCTTCTCTGGGCCGGGCGTGCGCGTGCAGAGCACAGCCCGGCGCTGGGGATTTGTGCCCCAGTGCGCCAGTGCTGCTCGCTCCTCCGTCCCCTCACTGTCCCCGTCGGGTGGCCTCCTGCTGTCTCAGACCCCAGCCCCTCCGTGCGAGCTCTGCTGGCCGTTCCCCGCGGGTGGGGCCGGGGCCTCGCCCTGACCAGCTGGAAGCCTGGCGCACCCGGCTCTGGCCCTTCCTCGCCTTCCAGGAGTGTGCCGGGCTGGCGGTGGGGGCCGGGGTGCTCCGAGCGGCCAGGCAGCTGGCCCAGGCTTGGGGGCGTGGCGCTGAGGACGTTGCTTGGCCCCCAGACGGGAGGGGGTGCTGCCTCCTCTTCAGCCTCGAGGGAGCGCCTCCCCCAGCCCCGATCCCTTCCTCACAAGTCCAACCTGCTGGTCGTCTCGCGCCTTCCCCTGGGCTCGCTCTTTGTTCTCCCTGGTTAGCAGCAGAGCAGACAGAGCCCCCGGCCACACGTGCCCAGGACGCTCTCCGTCCTGCTTTCCCGTCTTTGTCCCTCTGGGTGACGGAGGACGAGGACCGATGGAGGGTCCTGCAGGAAGCAGCGAGGCCTCAATAGGACGGAGCGGGGACGCTCCCGACGCCGGGCCGGGCCGCCTCGCGCAGTCGGCAGTGGGGAAGGAGGCACTGCGGACGCCCAACTGTGTGGTGGGGGGTCCTGCCTGGACGCTGGCCTTGGGGGGGTGGGCAGCCTGGTGACCCGGGTCTGTCGTGTGCCCCCAGGCTACCTCATTCATGAGTCGGCGTGCTGGAGCGACACGCTGCAGCGCTGGTTCTTCCTGCCGCGCCGCGCCAGCCACGAGCGCTACAGCGAGAAGGACGACGAGCGCAAGGGCACCAACCTGCTCCTGAGCGCCACCCAGGACTTCAGCGACATCTCCGTCAGCCACGTGGGCACCGTGGTCCCCACGCATGGCTTCTCTTCCTTCAAGTTCATCCCCGACACGGACGACCAGATCATTGTGGCCCTCAAGTCCGAGGAGGACGCGGGCCAAGTGGCCACCTACATCCTGGCCTTCACGCTGGACGGCCGCTTCCTGCTGCCGGAGACCAAGATCGGCAACGTGAAGTACGAAGGGATAGAGTTTATTTAAATTCAGACCAGCAAGGCCGAGCGGTGTACGGTTTTTGGCTCCATCAGGACTCACGTTTTATAAAATCCAGAGGATTGCACTTTTCCATGGGGTTTTGTGTTTGCTTTTTTTTTTTTCCCCCTTTTCAGAGCTCAGGTGTGTGTGTGGTTCAGAGACCCTCCCCCCAGAACAGGGAGCTCAGCCCCGGGCGCGTGCAGTGGCGGGAGGGGGATTCCGCGGTGCTGGGAAATGGGCCGGTGGGGGACAGCTCCCCATGGCCACCGGTTCTGTGCACCGCCCCCTGGTGGTGGGAGCTGGTCCCTGCGGGCATCCTAACCTGGGGCCCCTCCTGACATGCGGCCAGCCCCCCTTCCAGTGTGCCTCCCTTTCTCTCAATCCCTTTGTTCTTTCGTTCAATAAACGTTTCTTGAGCTCCTACTATATGTCCAGCACTGTCCCCGCTGTGGGAGTGAGCGTGAGTCTGGAGCAGATCTGCCTGTAGGAACCCCCAGGCCACCCCTTCTTCCTTCCAGCTGAACCTCGTGCATTAAGTCCACTTCTCGAGGTTCCTCTACACTGCAGGGTGTTACAGGGCTGTGTGGACGAGGGCAGACCTCCAGGGACGCATCTGCACAAAACCTGCAGGAGAGGACACACGTCGGCTCATTTGTCCTCAGCCTCACATCCGACAATCGCCACCTCATGTGGCCAACTCCACAGTCTTTCCTTCAGGAAGATTCTGCGTCCAGGCAGCACTTTGACGTTCTAATTACCGTGCTCACCTCACAGCACGTACGCTGAGGTTTTAATTATTAACTTATTTTAATTAAACCAATTTCCTTGCTCACAGAGGAGTTGCCAAATCTTATCGCACAGAGCAAAGTCCTGTAGTTAACAGGCTCCTTCCCAGCAGCGGGGGAGGCTGGCGTGAAGTCCCGGCAGGCGCTGAGCCCGCTCACGAAGCCTCTAAGTCCCTGGTCAGAGGGCACGAGGGTGGAAGGTTAGCAGCTACCGGAAGCCGTCACGCGTTTCAAGGCTGCCACAAATGACGATCTGTTACTTCCTCTACGGGCCTGCCCTGGGTCAAGGGTGCTGGGCTGTTTCCCAGAGAGGGCGTGTAGGAGGCCCGCCTGGCCCCGTGGCCTCTGTCCCCTGATTTTTAGTTCTCCCTCCCTCCCCTGGGGAGCTTGGGGCCTCTTCTCACAAACCGCTTCCCTGCCGCCCTGTGTTCCCTGCAGGCCCCAGGGCCACAGCAGCGGCTTCCAGGCCGGTCAGCCGGGACCAGAGCCAAGAGGGCCCTTCCCCTGAAGCGCCCTCACCCCTCAGGGCCGTGTGGGTGCCTGATGGTCCGGGAAGGGCCATCTTTTAGGCTCTGATGTCACTTGGGACTCCTGTGTCTCACAGACTTTTCCCACTTACGGACTCTGAGACCGCCGCTAGGAAGGAGCCTGGTGAGGACCCCGCTTCCACCGTAAAACCTCTAGCAAAGGCCCGTGAGCATCTGTTCCCTGGAACTCGGCTCCCGCTGGGCGTGGCCTGGAAGACCGAGGGTTTCCAGACTTTCCCGGCCGCGTCCTTGGTTAACGTCCCTGGCGCCGGGGCTGTGTGAGCTTTTATTTTTTATTTTATTTTTTTTAATATTTTTATTTATTTCTAGGAGAGAGAGAGACAGTGTGAGCAGGAAAGGGTCAGAGAGAGAGGGAGACACAGACTCTGAAATAGGCTCCAGGCTCCGAGCTGGCAGTCAGCACAGACCCTGACGCAGGGCTCGAACCCACGAACCGTGAGATCATGACCTAAGCGAAAGTCGGACGCTTAACCGACTAAGCCACCCAGGCGCCCCATGTGTGAGCTTTTAAAACAGAAGCCAACTTAGGAAGGTTGGAGGACTTGGGACCGTCACTAAGTTGAGCCCGTTCTGATGGCACTTCGGTCACGGCCTACAGGCTCCCGAAGTGTGTCCTCCCAGTTAGGATTCAGGGCTGCTTTAAGCTTGACATGCTTGACGTTTTTTGTTTCTGTATTCGCTGCTATAAGCATCAGCATCGTGTTCCTTCCTCCTGGAGCCATTGTTTTCTAAACAATAAAGTAACAGAGGGGACTGTGGCTGCTCCGTCTCCGCCTGCGCCTGCGGGTCTGCGTTGGCTGTGGGCCAGGGGCCGACTGGGGAGCGAAGAGGGGGGCGTTTCTCACACAGGCTGGGCTCTCTCCAGGGGGCGCTCTGTGCTGTCCTGGGGCGGGGGTTACAGGCCACGGGAATTGGTGGCACCGGCACCTTCGCCGACCGGGGACTCTCTGGAAACAGAACCCTCCAGTCCTGACTTCTGCATCTGAAGTCCCTCACCGGTCCCGGCCCTGATGCTTCCCAGCTGTGTGGCCTGGACGGCACGTCTGACCTCTCGGTCCTTCGACTCCCTCGTCTGTGAAGGGAGGATGCTGAGCTAGCGTGCGCTCACCCGCTCTGCTGCCGCCCGGGCGGTGGGGCTCTCCGGGTGGCTGGGCGATGAGGAGGGGCCCGGGAAGGAGGTTAGGTGGATCCGGGTGCCCTTAGCGTGTCTGTGGAGCTGCAGGGGTGAGACCGTTCCCAGGGGCGCGCAGCAGCCCAGGAAGCCCTACTCGGAACCTTCAGGAGCACGGGAGAGGCAGGGGCCGACGGAGAAGACAGGCCAGGCTGGCGTAGGAGAACCCGGAGGGTGTGCTGGCTGACAGCCGAGTGCACTCACAGGTCCCTTTCTCTCTCTAGACCCTCCCCGCCCTGCTCTGCGTCCCCAGGGGCTGACCTGGGGAGCCTCACCTACTGTCTGGAGGGAGGAGGATGAGCTGGGGGTCCCCAATTCCCTCCAGCGGGGTTGCGTCCGGCACAGTCTCGCAAGGCGGGTCCCTCTGCTCTCGCACCCTGCGCTCCAGTCACTGCTCCCTGCCCTCGGCCCTTCTGGCCTGAGAGTGGTCCACACTCCAGGTACCACTCTCCCCCTTGCGGGATCCCCACCCCTGCTCACTCAAGCCCCATAGGTCACCCCTTTCTGAAAGCCTCTGCCAATGACCGCAGTTTGGGAACCTGACCCGTCAGATACCGCGGGGAGGTCAGGGAAGAAGGTCCGGAGAGTGTCCGTGGACTGAGCCACGAGGAGGACCCGGTGTTCTGGGCAATCCTCCCGAGATCGGCTCCAGGAGCGCCGGGGGGAAGAAGCCAGAGGGAGTCAGCCTGCGGCGGAACCAGACAAGGAACAGGACATGGAGGACAGGGGAGCTGGGAAGCAGCCTTGGCTCGTCTCTCTGAGAAGCTCCAGATGCCACAGACTCTGGGCTCTCATACTCGCCGCACGGGCGGTGACTGTGGCCTGCTGGGTGCCATCTGCGTTTAGCGTATAACTCATCAGCAAAAAGAGAACCCCGAAACGCCATCTTGGAACGGGGTGAAAGAAAAGTACAATTAATTTCTTTCCAAATGTGAATCCTGTCATATGCACTTTAAATTGGTGAGTTGCAAAGTAAATTGTACCTTCATAAAACTGTTTAAAAGAGGGAAATGAAAAATACAATGCCTTCACGCCAAGAAAATTCCAAGGCCAAATGGTTTTACTGGTGACTTGTACCAAAGATTTAAGGAAGAAATAATACGAAGCCAACACAAAACCTTCCATGATTTTGGAAACCAGGGACACTTCCCGACTGACTGACGACACCACTATCCTGACACCAAACCTGGACAAACCTATTATGTGAAAAGAAAAGTATAGACCAGTAACCCTCACAAACATAGATGCAAAAGTCTCTGACAAAAGTTTGGCCAGTTGAATCCAGCCGTATATAAAAGGGAAAATAATTCATGAGAGAGTGTGTTTTATTCCAGGAATGCAAAGTTGGTTTAATATTCTAAAAGCAATGAAAGCCACCATACTGGCAGACCAAAAAGGAAAAATCACATGATAATCTCGAAAGATACAGAAAAAGCATGTGACAGAATTCAGCACCTGTTCACGATTTAAAAACAAACAAAACTCTCAGCAAACCAGGCATAAAAGGAACGTCTCTCACCTAGTACAGGGCACCTGCCATAAACCTACAGCGAACATCATACTTTGTGCTGAAAGACTGAACGTGTTCCCCCCAAGGCTGGGAACGAGGTACAAATGTCTGCTCTCACCTCCCCCCCCCCCCACCGTCCCCATCAACAACCTAATTTCTTATACTGGAGCCATTTTAAACCACATAGAAATTGCAGAACTGGTATAGTGTTGCTGGGCTCTCTTCCTGCAGCCGTCTCTGGCGCTAACGCTTTCCAGTTTTCGTGAGCGCAGGCGCAGCGATCAGGAAGCCGGCATTGCCCTCCTCAGTTTTATTCGTGCTCCTCCTGTGGGTTGTCCCAGACAGTGCAGCTGGGCAAGGAGAAGAAAGCCACTCAGACCGGAAAAGAAAGAGTAAAACTCTCTTTGTTTGCCGAAGACAAGATCGACTACGCAGAAAAGCGTAAGACGTCTTCAAAAAACAGCTACCAGAACCGACAGTTGAGTTCAGCAGAGCCACAGGATGCACGGCGCATGTGCGGAAATGAGCTTATTTCTGTACAGCCACTGCTGACAGTTGGGAACCCGGAAACAGTCGGACATAGAAACCTAACAAAACACACGCAGGATCCATAGGCCGAAACTGCAAACCACTGGTGAGATCAAAGAAGACCCAAATAAAGGGAACAGTATACTGTCTTCGTGGATAGGAACTCAGTTTTGAGAAGGAAAAAAACAGAATCAAAGGATTGACACTATCTGACCTGTAGACTCAATATAAAGTTATAAGTAATAAAGCTGTTGAACGATAGACATATACATCAGAGGAACAGAAGGGTCTCTGAATAGATCTGTATGTATGTGGTCAGTGGATTTTAGACCAAGGTGTCAGGGCACTCCCGCCAGAGAAAGACTCTTTGTGTAAGTGGGGTTGGGGCCACTGTAATCTATACAGAAACAAATGGTTGAAACCCTCAACCCCCACCACTCACAAAAGTAACACAGATTAGATCATAGAACTAAATGCAAGAGCTAACGATACAAAACTCCAGCAGACCATAGACTTTGGGTCAGGCAGAGACTTGTCCAACATGACACCGAAAGAATGAGACCTTGAGCTTCATTTATATTCCAAAGCTTCGTCCTGCAGAAGACACTGTTAAGAAGATGAGAAGGCACGAAAAGATAAAAACAAAATCTGCAAGTCCTTTCTGCTGAAAGACTTGCATCCAGAATACATAAAGAACGTGTACAACTCAGTAATGAGACATCCAGCCTGGTCCAAGATGTGCCTGAGATTTAAATAGACGCTTCGCCAAAGAGGAGGTATCAGTGACAATCCAGCATCCGAAAAGATGCTCAACAGTATGAGCCGTGGAAGCCACCGGGAGACCCCACTGCATCCCCACCAGAGTGGATAAAATTGAGAAGACTGGCAATGCTGAGTACTGGCGAGAATTTAGAGCCGCTGGGACGCTCAGTTGCTAGTAGGGATGCAGAACTGGTTCGGCCCCTGTGGGAAACGGTCTGACGGTTTCTTTCAAAAGTTAAATGTCTGTCACATGACCCGGTAATCCTCTCCCTAGGATGCTTCACACAAAAGAAAGCAACGCTATGTTCACACCAAGTCTTCTCCCCAGATGGTCCTCAGAGCTCTATTTATAGCAGTTAAAACCTGGCAATGACCCCAGTGTCCATCAGCGCACGTAAATGCACACGCACATCGTAGTCCGTCCACGTGGGGCGCCGCTGCTCGGGACAGAAAGGAACCAATAGCTGGTATCGGCAGTGACGTGAATGAATCTCAGAAGCCTCGTGCTGAGTAAGACAGCCGGATACAAAACATTACATATGGCATGTTTCTGCTTATACGAAAGTCTAGAACATGCAAAACACATCGGTGGTCGCCAGGGATGGGGGCTGGCGGAGGGTACCGACTACAAAGAGGGATGTTCGAGGATGATGAAAATGGTCTGTAGCTCACGGTCATGGTCACAGTTGCCGTTTGTATACCTCTGTCAAGACTCATTAAATCCATGCATTTTAACGGATGTAAATTATATCTCAAGAGAGCAGAGGACAGAGACAGAATCTGAAGCAGGGTCCACACTCAGCATGGAGCCTGACTCGGGGCTCAATTCCATGACCCTGGGATCATGGCCTGAGCCGAAACCAAGAGTCGGACACCCAGCAGTCTGAGCCATCAAGGCGCCCCGAGGCAGTTTTTTTAAAAAAAGAAAAAGTGTGGGTTTGGATCCCAGCTCCTTCCCTTCTAGCTGCACAACCAGGCACACTCTGCCTCTCTCACCTCCGTTTTCTCATCTATAAAGGGGGTGAGGAAGAGCAGCTGCTGCCTTTAGGGTACTGCCCTTGGGGTAGAGCGAAAGGTCTGGGGTAGACCTCACGGGCAGCATTCCTGTGCTCGGCGCAGAGGTGGGGGAGATGCAGGAGAGAGAACCTGTACGAGCCGGCCGTGTCCTCGCCTCCGGAACCCCCCAGGACTCCCCCAGCCATGGTGGCCGCAGGCCCCCCACCTCCCCCCAGCGACAGCAGCTGGGGCACCGTCTGCGGTGTCCGGGACTTTCCGTCTCAGTGACACCAGGCCCTCTCCAGCTCCCTTCCGCACTCCCCTCATGGAAAGGCCTGGAGATCCTCGGGGGAGCCCACACCCGTGCTTGGATTCCATGAAGAGGCCTCAGCCTTATGTCTTCCTTGGCTGAACCCGAAGGACTTTGCGGGACCGCGGGGCCAGCGACTCAGCAACTCGAGCTGTGAACAGCGCACTGTGAAAATTAGGAAAAGGAAACCTCGGTTCGAACGGAGGGGGCGGCGGGCAGCAGTTGCCAAGTGCACACCCAGCAGGAGGAGACCATGTTGCACCTGGTCAAGACCCCTCCTGGGGGAAGGAAGGTCCCCCCGCCCCAGCTCAGCCAGTGAGAAGCCACCGTTCGCCATCTCCCAATTTACTCCAGGGGACTTTCTGTTCATAACAGTCCCTCCCTTTCCTCTAAAAAAACTGCCTCCCCTTCCCTGCCCGGTGGGATTGCCCATGGCTTTGCCATAGGCTGCTTCCTCCAGATAGCAATTCTCGGCTCTTCCCGAATAAACTGACTTTTGCTGGGAAGAGAACTGGCAGTTTCCTGTTTAAGGGTAACGCCCACCACCTCCCAAAGGACTTCCTTTGTATTCCTTTCCTGACGGGCAACTTGTTGGGGCGAAAATCGTGGGGGCTGTGAGGAGGGGGTCCTGGAGGCTCGGAGGTTCTGTGCCAGTGAACCCTCAAGCTCCTGAGTCTGGATGGGATTTTAAAACTCACCACAGTCTCTCTTGCCAGCGCTGTTTCTAGATGCTTCTCCCCCCTGGGTATCTGGTTTCTTTGGAGAGGACTAGATGAGCCGTGTAGCCCCCCTAAAACCTCACACGGTGGGCAAACAGCCATTTAATGCCTGACCTCGGCACTCCCTCCTGGGAGCTCACTGCCAGGGAGGGTGGTTCCCGGCCCGGCGCACATGGCAGCCACCTGGAGGGCTTTAATGCCGGGGCCTGTCCCCACCCGGAGATGGTGACGAGGTGGATCTGCGCATCAGGAGTGTGTGACGCTCCCAGGCGATTGTCACGTGCAGACCAGGCTGAGAGCCACCTAGGCTAGAGACGTGGGGACGTTCCAAGGGACAAATCATCTGGACCCGTGGGATGCAGGTGACAAAAAACAAAAGAGGGCATTCGTTGGCTCATTTAACCGCTAGCGAATCCCAGGACTTGACCTTGGCAGCTGGACCCAGGGGCTCAGACCGCAGAATTGGGACCTACTGCCTCTGGGTCTCAGCCCCACCCCCACCTGCAGCCTCAGGTGGGCTTGCGCCAGGGCATCTGCTATCCCCCCCTCCCCCGCAGTCCTAGGGGACCCTCCCCTCCCGCTGGGCTGGCTGCCATCCCGCCTCAGGGCCCTGAGCTGCCAGGTCTGGGTCAGACTCTGGGAGGAGCCTGGGCCCCCAGACAGCCCGGGAGTGCGAGCAGGTGCCTTCCCGAGGGAAAATCGCGGTGCTGCTTAGTCGGGGGGGGGGGGGGGGGGGGGGGGGGGGGGGGGGGGGGGGGGGGGGGGTTGGGGGGAGAAGTGGCTGGGAGAGGGCTCCGTGATTTACAGCCGCCCCGCGGGGGTGAGATGCTGGGAGAAGAGCCCGTTCTGGGGGCGGGTGGTGTGCCCCGACGGCGCCCGGTGCAGGCCCTGGGGTCACCGCTGCGTGTGGGGTCCAGCGCGTCCCTTGCTGGCTGCATCCTTGACCCCGCTGTCTCACATCCCCGAGCCTCCCTCCCGCTGTACGGGGACGCCGCCGTGCAGCCTGGCAGAGGACGGCCATCCTCACATGCCCACGTGGGCCGCGTGCCAGACCCCAGAGCCTGCCCCCAGCCTTCGGAGGGGGCCCAGGCCTCACCAGCAGCCCCAGCCTGTCTGTGCCCACCCCCTGCCCTTCCCGCCTCCCCCTCCCTTGCCCTCCCCCAGCGCCTGCCCCTTGGGGCCAGTCCAGCTCTGGCCCCCTTGCCCCGGTTATCAAGCCCCTTAGACGACAGCCTTCATGTCCAACATCTGCAGCCAGAGCTGAGCAGCGGGAGGGGCCCAGGGAGCCTTGGGCTGGCAGCCAATCCCAGAAGAAACCCAGGTCAGGTGGTTTCTAGGAATCGAAACTAGACTGTTTCCTGCGTATTCCTGGGACCAGCCTGGCCACACTGCACACAGGTTTCTGGTTTGAAGAGGGTCCTGCAGCAGTTGTAGGGAGACAATCCAGGGCAGCCTTCAGTAGTTGCCTCAGGTAAGCTCATGCCTCTTGTTCCCAGGTGGGCGTCCTCGCTACCCAATGTAACCTAGGGGGTACACTGTCCCTGTTTGTACTCAGCTGGGGATCTAGTACTCTTCCTCAGCCCAGAAACCATCATTGCTGCTCCCAGATACACGGGGTCTCTATGTACAGTTGTCCAGGCTGTTCACTGCACACGGGCAAAGGGCAAACACACTTAGAATTTAGCCCAGTGCCCTCTCACCAGTTTGTGCCTTACAGCCCAGGCCTACACCTGTCCCCTGTCCAAAGTAAGAGTAACTTTTTCTAATTTGCAGCAGGCACCATTATGAGCCAGGGGCAGGCAGCCTTATCCCAGTTTGCCATAGGAGGGAGTCAGGCTACAGCAAGAGGCCGTGACTGCCTCAAGGGCAGCCAAATTTGCATACCACGTACCAGGTGCTTGATTGGCCATCGTTAATGCAAAACTGGGGTGCTGCCTCAGGGTCGCCAGCCCAGAACTAGTAGGGGTGTCCACTTGCTGGGCCCAGGAGTGGCGTGGGGCCACAGGATTGTCCCCGAGCCAGAGGGACCATGACTGGCCCCTCCACCTTCGGGACATGGCCAGAAAGGCAGGTGAGGAGCAGGCTGGCATGAAGATGAAACCAAGCCTCAGGAATTATAGAGAAGCAAGAACTCCAGGCAAACGTTGGAAGAGCTGCCTCCCCGCCCCCACCAGCTGGCTCCGAGCCTCAGTTTCTTTTGTTTTACTTTTTTTTTTAACGTTTATTTATTACTGACAGAGATAGAGCATGAGCAGGGGAGGGGCAGAGAGAGAGGGAGACACAGAATCTGAAGCAGCTCCAGGCTCTGAACTGTCAGCACAGAGCCCGAGGCAGAGGCTCGAACCCACAAACCGTGAGACCGTGACCTGAGCTGAAGTCGGCCATTCAACTGACTGAGCCCCCCAGGCACCCCCAAGCCTCGGTTTCTTGGGGACACTAACCTCGGAGGTGGCAGCACCACGCCCCCCGCTCAGCATTTCCTCCCCCCGACTGCTCACCCGGCCCCCGTCTCGTCTGCACCCCCACCCCCACCCCCACCCCGCTGCAGCCAGTCCCAGGCCTCAGCCCCATCGCCCCCTCCAGCCACGGCCTCCGGCCCTCTCTGTCACTCCCACCTGGATTTCTGAGGACCTCCTGAGGTGTCCCCTCCCGTCAGGGGCCCCCAGGGCTTGCCCACAGGAGTCCAGCGCCCAAGAGTGAAGCCCTATCTTCAGCAGGGGCCCCCAGGCCTCGGGACCTGGGCCCTGCGGGGCGCGGCTCCTCCCTCCCTCTACAGCCTCGCCCGGGGCCTGGTTTTCCTGAGATAGCTTCTGTTCGCGCTGCTTAGGGGCCTCCGCCAGCTCCCCCCGCCCTTCGCCTGGGCAAGTCTTGCCCCTCCTTACGTGCCCGGGACCACCCCTCGGGCGGCGGCGCCTGTCACACTCACCGCCGAGAGCCCGGACCGCGCACGCAGGGTCTGGAGGGTCGCGGCGGCACCAGGGCGGCCCAGCTCTGCCATCTGACTGCTGCTTCCCCCCACAGGACGAGGACCTCCCGAGACAGCCATGGCCCTCCCTCGGCTCCTCTGCGTGTGGCTGCTGCTCGCAGGGACCCACGGTGAGCTGAGCCCCCAGAGTCCCCAAAGCAGCCGTCTGAGAAGCTGCCGCTCCCCGGTCTGTGGGGCGGGCCCCTCCCTGCAGAAAATCTAGGCAAAGTTCTGCCCGGGTCAGCGGGGTCAGCCCTGGTCTGTGTCCTGCTCGGAGCCCCGGTCATCCCCAGTGACACCAAGGGAGTCTCCTTTTCATCCAGTGGGAACCAGAGGGACTGAGCACCAGGAGCCGTCACACAGGCCAAATGCTGGGGGCAGTGGGGGCGGGGGCGGGGGTCACGAGTCAGTGCCCTGCGGACACAGACTTCAGAGTTCCGGACGCCTGTCCTCAGGAGTGTCCTCAGGAGCCCCTCGTGTGTCCTGGTGACCCCACAGGGGCCGGCTGCCCCCCCAACTGAGAACTGCCCTCTGACATGGCGCCCGGCTCCCGCCTGCCCCCGGCGTGTCCTGCCCGTGTTTCTGGGGGGGGGGGGGCCGCTGGGCCTGCCGCCCCGGCCTCCCCCACAGCCCTCCCAGGCGTCCCTGCCGGGTGCACAGGCTGCATTCCCGAGCCCCAGACGCCCTCACTCCTCCTCCATTCTGCCCCGGGGTCCCGCCTCCCCTGTTCTCAGGCTTTAGGGTCCGGCTGCCCCGCGTGCCCCTTGTCCACCAGTGGGGGACGGCCTCAGACCTCAAAGATAAGAGGAGGCATTCTGCCCCGTGTGTGCGGGCGGGGTGTCGGGGCACGTCCGCCACCCCTGCCCAGCGGGTGACCCCCCTCGAGGATGGGTGGGGGGCTTTAAAGTTCATTGTAGGGCGGGCACCCCCGCTGGGGGGAACAGACAAGCGGCCAGGGAACAGACAAGCGGTGCCCCCGAACAGGGATGGAGGCCCCGCCTTCCTCCCTGCTGATCTTTGTGTTCCTGCGGGGACCCTGCAGGTGTGGAAGATGGGGACATGCGTCTGGCCGACGGGGAGAGCGCCAACGAGGGCCGCGTGGAGATCTTCTACAGAGGCCAGTGGGGGACGGTGTGTGACAACCTGTGGGACCTGACAGATGCCACTGTTGTCTGCCGCGCCCTGGGCTTTGAGAATGCCACCGAGGCTCTGGGCAGAGCCGCCTTCGGGCCAGGTAGGCCTGCCGCTCCCCAGGTCCCCCGGAGCTGGGACCGGCTGCCAGGGAAGGGACTGTCGCCTGAGACACGCACACAGCGTGCCCCTCCCTCCGCTTTGGCGAACACTTAAAACACTGCTAACACCTGAGCTGGCCAGGTGCCCGCAGGCGGGCACTCACGCTGGCCTTGCCGGCGGCGGTCCCTCAGGCCCTGGGAATGTACCCCCCCCGCCACGTCTGTGGGCACGAACGTCCCACTGACTCAGTGCCCGTGACTCTGAAGAAATGGAAATAATCCAAATAATCGGAGGGAGGGGGAGACTACAGATGAAGGCTAGTTTGTGGTGTCCCCAGAATAAGCCCGAACCCACACTCAGATCGCTGCCAGGTCATACCCGGGGACAGACCCCGCGCGGTAGCGGGAGGGCTGCGCGGAGCTCCCGTCGCTGCGGTAAACCCACTGGCCTCTGAAGTGGGCACTCCCGGGGGCGCAGCCCGCTCCGCCGGCCCCCCGCGCCGGCAGCGGAGGGCGCCAGCACCCCCAGCGCGTCCCTGTGTGCCTGCAGGCGCGGGCCCCGTCCTGCTGGACGAGGTGGAGTGCACGGGGACAGAGTCGTCGCTGGCCGACTGCAGGTCCCTGGGCTGGCTCAGGAGCAACTGCAGGCACAACCAGGACGCCGGCGTGATCTGCACCAACGGTGAGCCTGCGGGCGCGCTCTCTTCGCCGCGCCCCTCCGCGCGCCCACGCGCGAACTCCTTCCCCCACGCGCCGCGCCCACGCACGTACTCCTTCCCCACGCGCCACACCCACGCCCGTACGCCCTCCCCGCGCCCACGCGCGAACTCCTTCCCCGCGCGCCGCGCCCACGCACGTACGCCCTCCCCGCGCCCACGCGCGAACTCCTTCCCCGCGCGCCGGTGCGCGCCCACGTGGGTACTCCTTGGCCACGCCCACGCACGCCGTCCCCGCGCCCACGCACGCCGTCCGCACGCGCCACGCCCACACGCCGTCCCGCGCCCCGCACGCCTGTTCCGGAGGGGGCAGGAGGTCACCGGGCTTCTCAGAAATGCTCCGCTTGACCTGGACCTCGGGCAGGGCCGCGGGTCCCCTGCGCAGGACACCTGCGTCTTCAGTCGAACCCCAGCCTTTTACCTTCCTCCGTCCTCGGTCCGCAGCAGGGAAGGCAGCGCCCACGTGCCTGCACAGCAAGCCGGGCGGCCTTAAACCTGACCCTCCGGCCTCCCGCCTGCTCCGCCACTCGTGCTGCGCCCTCCCGGCTGCTCTGTGCCCTTCAGTCCAGAATCCTGTGGTCCTTCCTGGGCTTCACATGGGGCCGGGGGGCACGGGCAGCCCCCGAGGCTTGGACGGAGCCTTCACAATCGGATAGAGCAGCACAGAGCAGCGGCCGGAGGGCCCTGGGGGTGGGGGCAGGGCAGGGAGCAGCCCTGGCGGGGAGCCCGTGCTGACAGTGGGGTGCGCCGAGGAACGCGGGGCTGCACCTGCCTGGCTGACTTGTAACCCTTCCTGAAAAAGAAAGAACAGGTGGGGTTTGGTTCCTAGTTAGGTCCTGGGAGTGTTGGGAGAGCGGTGCATCCCCCCTGCACCCCCCTGGGGCACTCAAGCGGCTTCTCTAGGCCTCAGTCCCCTGAAGGAGCTGCTAGGGACCCCATGGCTCTACACTGAGTTTCTAGAAGACTCTCCCTCTTCAGAGGGTCAAGCCGGGGAGAAGGCTTGGCTTTTAGAAGGTACCACCTGGGTGACCTTGAGGGGTCACCTTGGGTGGTTGGGATTTTAAGGGGGGCGGCTCAGGCTCTGGACGTCAGCAGAGCTGCTGTCCGAATGTGGAGGAGCAGCGGTGCTAACTCGGGGTCTCCCACAGGGGTGGGGGGGCTCCGCGTCACAGAGGTGAACGGCAGCCTCGCCTTCCCCAGAGCCTCCCGGATAGACGGGGCAGGAAGGAGACGGAGCCCGGGTAGCAGAAGTGTTCTCGGGTGATGGCGCCCGGCCCCTCGTCCTAACAGCGTGCTCCCCTATGCTTCTTGTAGAAACCAGCAGCGCCCACACCCTTGACCTGTCGTATGAGCTCCCTGCGGCTCTGGAGCAGATCTTTGACAGCCAGAGGGGCTGTGACCTGTCCATCAGGGTGAGGGTGAAGGACGAGGAGGAGGGGGGCCTGGACATGTGCGGCCACAGGCTGATCCTGTCCACCAACCCCGAGGCCGAGGCCCTGTGGAGGGAGCCGGGCTCCACGGTCACCCTGGAGGTGGACGAAGAGTGCCTGCCTGTCGTCAGAGACTTCATCAGGTGACCACCCTGGGGCCGGGGGTACCGGGCAGGGCTCACTCACCTCCCTCCGACGGGGAACCGTAGGGGGTGCGGCACCGACCACATGGGTGCTTTCCCAAACACACGTGTGTGCACCCACATATCCACGTGGTTTTAAATCGGCGCACACAGATCCACACGTGTGCACATACACACCCACATCTGCACACATGCTTAAGCTCACAGTTGTGTGCATCCCACCCTCTCACACTCTTGTGCACACACTCACAGTGGCACACTCCTGCATATACCTGCACGCTCCACACTGACACACACGCACCCTGAACACGCACGCTGTCACACGCAAGTATATCAACTTTCAGAAACACTGTGTGAAAAGTCTGCCAGCCGTCGGCCCACCAGAAGGGGCGTCAGACCCTCTGTGGGCTACACATCCACCCGGCGATCCAGACCCGGACTGGTTTGGGGCCAGGTCGCTGGAGGGGCCTGGGGCAGAGCTGGGAAGGGGCCCCGCACGCCGGAGGCCTCGCTCTGGGCCATAGCCTCCTCGGAGGCCCAGCGTGCGTGTGTTGCAGGAGAAGTCAGGAGCCCCAGAAACACGCGCACCCATCTCTGACGTCACGTGAGAACATGGCCTAAGATTCCCAAGGACCTTAAACATAGTCCTGCATCCCCCTCCCCCATCACGCTCTGGCCTCACTGGTGTGGACGGGGGAGCACCTGTGACCCCAGACCCGTCAGAGTCACCCCCGCCCCCGGCACGTGAGCCAGCACCCCATCTGAGGACACCGAGGCACCAGGGCCCCCCCACTCCTTACATTCCCAAAGCACTTCTTTAAAAAGAGCTGTTCCTTCTGGTTCTTAAGACCTAAAGCTTTACGTGGCTGCGAGCGAGCGACATTTAAGAGAAAACAACAAATGGCAATTAAGGCAGATTAAAGCGGTTTCTTCCAGCCGCGTGTAGGAAGTTGGAGCCACCTTTCCCCCCACTTAGGGACCCGTTTCTAGGATTTGTCTGAGAACCAGGCACGTGCCCTTCCTGCTGGATTCACGCCCAGGACTCTGGAGAGCGGCGATGCGCCTCCCGATCTCTCCTCTGTCTCTCCCTCCCCCGCTCCTGTCTCTCTCTCTTTCCCCCACCCCCTTTCCCTTCTGTCTGTCTCTTCCTCCTCTCTCTCTCTCCCTCCTCTGTCTCTCGCCACTGTCTCTGTCTCTCCCTCCTCCTCCTCTCTCTCCCTCCTCTTTCTGTCTCTCTCCTCTCTCCCCTTCCTCTCTCTCCCTCCCTCCCCTTTCTCTGTCTCTCCTTCCCCTCTGTCTCTTCCCTTCTCTCTCCATTTCTGTCTCTGTGCCCCCACCAAAGGCAGAAAAGCTGCAGCGAGCTGGGTACCCTTGGCCTCCTGACCCCGTCCAGCCGCCAGAAGGCATCAGGATCCTCACTGAGGGCACAGACCCTCCCCCTTCCTGCCCGAGGCCCCGTGTGGCACCTGATGCCGGGCCTCCTCGCCAGGTTCCGCGGTTTCTGAGGGTTGTGAACGCGCCCTGTCCTTGGTTCCTGTCTCTGCCTCTCAGGGGCAGGCCGAGGGACCACTGGGACCCCTCCCCACGGCGGTGCCCCCCGAGGCCTGGGAACCTCCCCCTCTGGCATGAAGTGAGAATTGGGAGGGGCGGTAGCCACAGTCCCTCCCCCTTCTGTCAACCCACCCGCGGGGCCCGCCCCCCAAGAGGCAGTGGCCAGGAGCTGTGCGCCCCGGCCGGCCTGCGGCCCCAGGGAGAAGCCTCGGGGAAGGTGCCCCCCCCCACCCTGTGAGTTCTGGTCGCCAGCAGAAATCACACGCTGAACTTCTAGAATACCAAGTGCAGGAAGGGACGAGGCCGGAGGGCATGCCTCAGCCACCGTCCCTGGGCACGGGGTCCCCGACTCCTCCCGAGGGGACCGTGGCTCTTCCAACGGCAGGACCCCACCCGCCCCGTCCCGGGAGAGGGACAGACCCCTTCCACACGTGCTCTCGCCCAGCACAGTGGGTCCTGGTGGTGCCCTGAGTCCCGGAGCCAATCACAGACTGGGTGTCGCTGGGGCGGGCTTCCCGTCAGCAGGGGAAGCAGACAGGGAGCAACCAGGGTTGACGTCCACGTCATGGGGGCAGGACACAGGTGCTGGGGACAGAGGGGTGCCGGTGGGCGCCCAGCAAGGGACCGAAGGGGCCCGGCCAGGGCTGCGACGGCAGGAAGGAAGGGGCAGTGCGGTGCTGAGGCTCGAGGCGGCCGCAGGTCCTGGCACCCAGGGCACCGAAGAGGGTGACGACCCTGATGGTGGGGACAGAGAACAGCAGTTGGTGGGGCTGCCTCCCTCACAGGCGGGGGGCGGAGCGTCATGCCCGCGGCCCTGGGATCTGCCTGCCTGTGAGATCTGGGCAAACGTGCGCTTGGAACGTGGGGCGACCCGGAAGATAAATCGGGGGGGGGCACCAAATGCCTCGAAATGGGGCACCCGCGGGGGTGTCGCTGGGTTGGTGGCAAACTGGTGATAGAAGGTGATGTCAGAGAGGCAGGCCCGGCACGCGCCGCCCGGCCGGTCAGCGCTCGCTGCCTCCCCAGGTACCTCTACTCCCGGAGGCTGGACGTGTCCCCGGCGGCGGTGAAGTGCTTCCACAAGCTCGCCTCCGCCTACGGGGCCTGGCGGCTGCAGAGCTTCTGCTCCAGCCTCTTCGCCGTCCTTCTCCCCGAGGACGCCTCCTTCCAGACGCCGCTAGACCTCTATGCCTACGCACGGGCCACCCGGGACCCCGTGCTGGAGGCGCTGTGCCTGCAGTTCCTGGCCTGGAACTTCGAGGCCCTGACGCAGGCCGAGGCCTGGCCGGCCGTCCCCGCGGCCCTGCTGCGGGCCCTGCTCTCCAGGAGCGACCTGGCCGTGCCCAGCGAGCTGGCCCTGCTGACGGCCGTGGACGCGTGGAGCCAGGAGACGCAGCCCCCGCGCGGCGAGCTGGAAGGCGTGCTCCGCGAGGTGCGGTTCCCCATGATGCTGCCCGAGACCCTCTTCGAGCTGCAGTTCAACCTGTCCCTGTACGGGGCCCACGAGGCGCTCTTCCGGGAGCAGACCCTGCGGGCCCTGCAGTTCCACACGGTGCCGCTCCGGCTGCTGGCCCAGCACCGGGGCCTGAACCTCAGCGACAGCGCCTTCCAGCCCCGGCTCTACACCTCGCCCGCCTGGAGCGCCAACGTGTCTCGAGAGGCCCGGGCCGCGGCCCCCCGCTACCCGTACAAGGCCTACTGGGCCGAGCCCAGCTACCGCTACAACCCCACCCGGTCCTTCCAGACCCCGCAGCACCCCAGCTTCCTGTTCCGCAGCCGGCTGGTCTCCTGGTCCGCCGCGCACCTCCCCACGGTGCAGAGCTGCTGGAACTACGGCTTCTCGTGCAGCCCGGACGAGGTGCCCCTCCTGGGCCTCTCCAGGTACGACTCCTCGGATCCCACCATCGGCTACCAAAACAAAGCCCTGATGCTCTGCGAGGGCCGCTTCGTGGCCGACGTCACCGATTTCCTGGGGCAGAAGGCCCTGATCCCCGACGCCCTGGGCACCAACGGCTCCAGGAGCGCTTCCGTCTTCCCCTGCCGGTCAGGGGCCTTCAGCGGCTTCCAGGTGGTCATCCGCCCCTTCTACCTGACCAACGCCTCCGGCCTGGCCTAGGCCGCGCGGAAGCCAGGCGCCTCCGGGCCGCCGCCTTCCCACCGCCGCCGGCTGCCACCGGCCACCAGAGGGCCCTCCCGCTTTCCCGGATGCCTCTGAGCTCAGAGAAGGTACTGGAAGGTTTCAATAATTCTCACCACCCGGCACAGAAGTCCCAGCCCCCCCTCCACCCCCCACCCCACCCCTGCACCCCCCACCCCATCCCTCCACCCTACCCCCCACCCCATCCCTCCGCCCCCCCACCCCCCACCCCCCACCCCATCCCTCCGCCCCCCCACCCCCCACCCCCCACCCCATCCCTCCGCCCCCCCACCCCCCACCCCCCCTTCACCCCTCCACGCCCCACTCCACCTCTCCACGCCCCCACCGCCGCCTGGACACGCGGCAGGACGCCCCACGCAGCCTTCCCCCTCGCGGCCCGGTGCTGTCCCTCGGCCGAGGTCACTAAAGCTGCACTGATGCGCCTCCCGCCTCCCTGCAGAGTCGCGTGTCCCTGCTGCGCTCGGACGGCGGGTGTGCTGGCCGCGGCTCCTGGGCATGCGCAGACACAGGCGCTGTCCTGACGCCGCGATGGGGGGGCGGGGGGACGGCCGGGCTCATTACAATCAGGACAGCGGGTGATGGGACCCAGAGGGTGCGCGGGCGGCGAAGAAATGAGAGCCCCCGGCGTGTGGAAAACGGGGGGTGGGGGGCGGAGCGCCCCGGGGAGAGGGAGCAGCCCCCGCCAGCCCCGCGCCTCCGGGACCCCTCGCGCATGCGCACAGGGACGCAGGTCGGGTTCTCGGTGCAGCCGGGTTCCGGGGAACCGGACGTGGAAGCGACCTCGGTGCATGTCAGCGAGGGGCCAGAGGGCCGAGAGCGGACCCCCACCACGGGGTAGGCGGGGCGAAGCACGTGCTGGGGCGACCCGGGGCCACCCACACGGTCTAGGCAGGGCAGGGGACTTACCCTGGGATCGGCGTGCTCAGGCCACCACACCACTGCTCCCCCCCACCCCCCGAGCGCGGGGCAGGAACCCTGAGCTGTCCCTGCTGCTTTGTGATGCGCACTCCAGGCCCAGGGGCCCCGGAAACACGCGGTTGGCCGAGCTCAGGCCGCGCACCCACAGCTCTCGGCCGTCCTGGCCTCGGGCAGGGGAGGCACCCCACGGGAGGGAGGGTCAGACGCCGGGCAGGCCAGGAGGCAGCAGGCCCCCCGCCGCCCGCCCTTCCTCACCGTGCAGACGAGAGCGGAGAGCCAGAGCCTGGCCCGGGCCGCTTTGCCTTCCCAGGGGCCCCCAGCTCCGGGCCCACAGCCTTGGCCACTAATGTGGCGGAGCCTGGACGTGTTACAAATGTATCGTTTCACTTCTGTCACGAGTCCACTGCAGGGGCTCCTCTGTCTGGCACACCCCGGAGGCAGACGGCAGGGAAAGGGAGGTGGAGGTAAGCACTGCACACAGGGCAGGAGATGGGGGGGATTCGTCTCCCCACAGCAGTTAGGGGCTCTCCTGCCCTGCACCCCTTGCCCCTTGCCCCTTGCCCGCCACCAGCACATCCGACGCAAGGTCCGGCTGGGTCAGGTAACCAGAATCCTGGGGAGCTCTGGGCCCTGTGAGGGCGCTGCAGTGTGTGCCGACCCCTCCCCCGGGATCCACCCGAGTTCCTTCCACCCGCCATGCGCTCCGGAGTGGCCGCCCTGCTCCCCTTGAGCCTTGATTCTCGGCCCCTTAGATCGGCCGAGGGCAGGGGCAGCCCTGCCGCCCGTGCCCGTCTGTGCCCGTCTCCGCCTCCTCCGGCGCGGCGTGGAGGTGTCTCTCGGTGGTCACATGGGTCTCATGGGTGTCAGATCCCTAAATCAGCAGAGCCCGGGTTCCAGAGGTGGCCCCGGGGACCAGCTGTACGGTGCGGGCACCTCTGTGCTTCTCTGGCTCAGGGAGAACCACGTACCGGCCACGGGCTCTGCATGTGCCGTGGACCGGAGGGCAATTCTGGCAGCTGACGACAGGATTTATGAGGAATCTGGAAGCAGAGCGGCCCCGGGACTGCCTCCAGACCCAGGCTCTGCCGGCCTCCGTCCCTGCCCTCCTGAGCCATTCGACGCTCACGAGTCACGGGGCTGCCCACGCGAACTCCCGGCGCCTCGGCACCTGCGTGCGTCAGGGCCAGGCCCTACGCGATGCGGTCAGTCCGGGGTCGGTAAGACAAAGGCCGGCATGACGGGTGGGGAGGGCCAATCCAAATCTAGAATAAACGTCGGATTCCTTGCCTGGAAAGTTTCCACCAGGCACAAGCGCCCCTGGGCAGCTGGCCCTTCCGCCCCAGCATCACAAGACGCCGGGTGAGGGCTCCGGAGCAAACGGCAGATCACATCAGCCTGGGTGACTAGGCCAAGGTCAGCCCCCTCACAGCCTCCCCCCCGCCCCGGCCACCAAGGCCACCTGGAGAGCCAGAAGACAGCAGGTCCGGGGGGGGCGGGGGAGGGGCAGGGACTCCCCACCCCGAGCAGCCTGCCTGCCTCCCATGGTGAGAGTCTATGCAGTCAGGCTTTCAGATCAAACCCTGCCTCCTCTGCAGATGAGGTGGCCCAGACCCTCTTCCCTACTGGGGAGTGAGGTGCTGTGAATCTCAGTGCCACAGCAAGCCTCTCCTGCGTGGCATCGGCCGTGGTGCATCCTGCAAACAGGCTTCTGTCTTCCCATGAGGCTGCAGGTGGGGGGGGGGGTGACACGCAGAACAGCAGGACGGCGATCTATAGATATGAGTCACCCAGGCCTCCAGGGGGTGATCGGGCCACTCCTCGGGGACCCACTCCACCTTGCTGCTGGTGGCTGTCTAGTTCAGGGAGGGCTGCTCAGGCCCCAGGCTCAGGTGTTGGGGCCCAAAGCCGGCTGTGGCTTAGAAGGAGAGAGGGTTCCTGCTGAAGAGGGCGCGGCACGACTTGATTCCAGACCCCCGGAAACCTCCTGGATGGGCCTGGCACCAGGCCTTATGGGCACCGCCCCCCCCCCAATGCCAAGTGTGCCTTTGTGAATCCCAAGCACCCCCGGGTAGGCAGCTCGTGAAGGCATCTGTTCTGGTCCGGAGCACCCCACGGAGAGCTAGCCGCATCCTCCCCCTTGCCGTCGGAAAGCCCCTCCTAGCTGGCGCCTCCCTCCTCGGTGCATTTCCCCGGGGCGTTCAGGCAGGAGGGCTGTCCGGAGCTGCCTAGGTGAGGGGGCCACACATTAACCACACATTAACGTGCACTTCAGGGTCCTGGATCCTGGGCTCCTTGCATGGGTCACCAGGGAGCCCGGCCGTCCGGCCGTCAGGGGAGAGCCCTACTCTCAGCTGCTCAAGCAACGAAGCCGGATCTCTGATGGATGCACCTGTACTGGATAATTTTAGCATCAGCTTCATATAATGAAACCCTAAAAATAGCGGTGACATAGATGAGATCCTTTCTTTTTCTGTCACCTCAGAGAGGTGAGGCAGTCATTCTGGAAGTGGGCACCTCCTCTTCCCACAGCCCTATCTTAGCCTGCGACTGCCATCTTTCAGGTGACCTCATGGTCCATAGTGGCTGCTGGGATTCCAGCCATCATGTCTGCCTTTCAGGAAGCAGGAAGGAGGTAGTAGGAAAGGACAAAAGACTCTCTTCCAGCTGTCTGTCCCCGACACTGGGTACATCTTTAAATTTTGCCTGTAATCTGGCTTGCTCGCTTCATCCTTGTTTCAGTTCCATTGAAAACAGCTGCCCCGAGCCTACAATCCTTGAATATCTTTGGTTCTTCATATTATTGTGTGGGCAGCAACAGGGTCCCCACCATTTTGCCTCCAGTGGATGTTTCATTCCAGGCGACCACAGGCTATAACTGAAGTCAGCTGGTTTGCCACTGTATACACTGCCGGCTGTCTGTCCCTGTAGCCAATGGAATTTTGAGAAACAATGTTACTGGTTTATAACATATACAGATAAATGTATGTGTCTACATAGATGCGCACACGCGCGCGCGAGCGCGCACACACGTATATAGAATTCAGTTAATCTTTATATTACACGTATACACCATATACTGACCCCTCCGATCAGACCCTAACACTTCCCTCAGTCCCAGAAGACACCCTCCTGCTTCTTCCCAGTTAGTGCCCTGCCCCCATAACCATCGACGCAGACCAGTCTTTCCTGGTTTTGAACTTCACCTAAAACGGAATCATGCTGTATGTGCCTTTCAGCCTCAGACTTCTGGGACTCAATCTTTTGTCTATTAAGGTTCACGCAGAAAAGCAGAATTCCACGGTGTGAATTTGTCGCAGTTTTCCAACCCGTTCTATAGCTGATGGGTATCAGGGCTGTTTCCAGCATTTCGGTATTTTTTAAAAAATATTTATTTTAGGGGCGCCTGGGTAGCTCTGTCGGTTAAGCCTCCAACTTCGGCTCAGGTCATGATCTCACGGTTCGTGGGTTCGAGCCCCGCGTCGGGCTCTGTGCTGACGGCTCAGAGCCTGGAGCCTGTTTCAGATTCTGTATCTCCCTCTCTCTCTGCCCCTCCCCTGCTCTCTCTCTCTCTCTCTTTCTCTCAGAAATAAAAACATTAAAAAATTTTTTAAATATATTTATTTATTTTGAAAGAGAGAGGAGGGGGCAGAGAGAGAGAGAGAGAGAGAGAGAGAATCCCAAGCAGGCTCCATACTATCAGTGTGGAACCCAACATGGGGCTCGATCCCATGAACGTGAGATCATGACCTGAACGGAAATCAAGAGTGGGACGCTTAACCGACTGAGCCCCCCAGGCGCCCCTCCCCCTGCTGTTTTGAGCCTCCGTGAACATTCTTGGGCACGTCGTTTGCAGGACGCGTGGACTCATTGTCCTGGGGGACGTGCCTGGGGCGCAGTGCACGGGGCGTGCGTTTCACTGTAGTGGACACCGGGCAGCCCTCCTCCCTGATGACCGTGCCAGTGTCCCCCCGCCCCCGCCCCCCACCGCGTGAGAGCTCAGCTGCCCTGGCCGTCACCAGCACCCCACGCCGTCGGTCTCAACTGCAGCCCTGCTGGGGGCGGGGGTTCCTCCACCACTCTCCAAGGGCAGCTCACCTGAAATCCACTTCCAGCGCCAGTGTCTACACCAGCCACTGCTCTCGGCTGCAAACGACAGCACCAATTCTGGTGACTCTAAGCGGAAGAGGGTTTAAGGAGGAATCAGGAAGCTCGGGGGCCGGATGGAAAGGCTAGAGAACCAGGCTTGGGAGCTGGGCAACAATTAGGGAAGTCAGTGTCTCAGGGAACTT